TTCAAAATTTCTGTATTCGTTTCATATTTAGCTTACGCAAATATGATCATGTGTCACAATTTCGATCACAGCTCAAGTGGCTACCAATTCGACTTCGCCGGAATACTCACATCCTCACACTTCTCTACAATATATTGTTCAATCCTTTGTCCCCGCGCTATCTCAAGGAATGCTTCAATTACCTTCATAGCTCTAACGCGTTATCTCTTAGGTCATCAGAAAATTTAACCCTAAAAATTCCTACTCATGACACAACCTTCTATGGTCGTTCTTTTGCCGTCCAAGCTGTTCGCCTGTGGAATTCTCTTCCAGTAACCATAAGACGAGCACAATCTATTTATATTTTCAAAAATCTTGTTTTCAACCATTATTTGTCGATGTAACTGCATTTTTATTTTTATTTTTAATATTTTTTTTCTGACTGGACTAAACTTATATATGTGTAGTCTATGTATGTATGTGTCATATATTTGTATTATATGTATATATCTTATAGTTATATTATGTGTATATATTATGTATGTATGGTATGTACATATATTTAAAATATATAGTTATATACATTTTTATATCCCTTGTTTTTATTTTTTTTTTTTTATAACACCAGCGATTCCAGTTTCTTTCAATCCTCTCCATCCAAAGGTTGTCTGGAAGAAATCGCTTTTAGCGATAAGACCGCCCATTGAATCACTATGTTTAAACATAATGTATTTACCCCATTTATGTACTATAATGTGGTGTTTTCAATAAAGAATTGTGTATTGTGTATTGTATTGTATTGTAAATTAGATGCACGCAATGTAATCTTTTCGACTTCTTTCACTCAATGTACGTATTTTAAAATATAGTAGCATTGTACGGAACACAGAACACAGAACAGTACAGTATGGTATGGTACAGAACACCTAGGTTGCAGGTCTGCATTGCATATCCTCCGTTAAAAAATGAGTATACAGGATGTCCCAAAAAGTAGTGTCAAGCGGTAGTCCCGAGATAGAACACCCCTTGGGGAATCCGAAACACCCCCATGTATGTTCCGCGATTTTTTATAGTTTGCGAGTTATGAATTTTTTACTAAAATTTTGAGAATTAATGACCTAAACAACTTAAAAATTTAATAAAAAAAATTGGATAAGTCTTTTCCGAGATATTTTTTTTGCAACTCAATTTACATGAATTGTACTTAAATGACTAATACATACATCTTTAAATTTAAAATCTTAATAGGTAGTTTCATGGCTCCTAAGTAAGTTTAAAAACTGCGCCAGACTCTCAGCTTTCATAATCATTTAAAAAAAGTAGTACTTAAAGGGCTACTTTTGCTAAAATCGGACTTCAGACAGTGAGATGGAAAAATCTTAAAATTAGCGATTTGGTATCGAAGTTTTTTTTTGGCATTTTATCTTTCCTAAAGTTAATTAGATTGTTAACTAATCGAAAATGGTAGCAAAAAAGCTAAGATTCTACCATTTTTAAGTTTAATTTAAAGTTTAAAAACGATTTTTTGAACTTGCTGTATTGTGTGATACCTAAAAATTAAATTTAGTTACAAAAATAAAATCTTTAAAAAGGGGAAGCTAAATGAAACAAAAAGTAACTGCTATTTATTATTTATTACAAAAAGTTTTCAAAATGTCTCCCTTCCTGCTCAATACATAAACAGTTTTCTTTTAGCTGAATAAACGCTATTCTGTTATTTTTTATTGTTTCTTCTGCGTGTCGCAATTTCGTTCGTAATTCTTGAATATTTCTTATGTCTTTAGCGTAGACCAATTCTTTGTAATATCCCCAAACAAAGAAATCAATAGGTTTTAAGTCCGGGGACCGTGGAGGCCACGCAATGGACCTCCTCGCCCGATCCACTTGTCTCCAAACCTTTCATTTAAATGATGTCTGACGATGCTCGCGTTTTGAAAAATCATGTTCCTCCGCGTTAAAAGGTCTACATCATCGAGTAAATTATTGAGATCTTGTTGTAAAAATTCCAAGTAGGACTCGCCATTCAATCGGTCTGGTAGTTCGAACGGACCAATCAGCTGTCCGTTTATTATGCTTCACCACAAGTTCACGCTGAATTGTTCTTGAAAATTTGAGTCACGTGTTAGGTGTGGATTTTCAATGTTCCATGAGTGATAATTGTGGATGTTAAAAATCCCACACCTTTTAAAGTGTGATTCATCGGTCCACAAGATAATCCATATGTTAACATCTTAGCGTTCTTGCAATAATTTTTTGTTAGTTAACAAATCTAATTAACTTTAGGAATGATAAAATGCCAAAAAAAACTTCCGATACCAAATCGCTAATTTTAACATTTTTCCACCTCACTGTCTTTGAAGTCCGATTTTAGCAAAAGTAGCCCTTTAAGTACTACTTTTTTTAAATGATTATAAAAGCTGAGAGTCTGGCGCAGTTTTTAAATTTACTTAGGAGCTATGAAACTACCTATTAAGATTTTAAATGTAAAGTTGAAATCTTAAGACCATAATTCACTGACCATAATTTTTTCACTTTGCACCATCATTTTTTAAACTTCCATCATAGTTACAAAGACAAAGGTATTAGTCATTTAAGTACAATTCATGTGAATTGAGTTGCAAAAAAAATATCTCGGAAAAGACTTATCCAATTTTTTTTATTAAATTTTTAAGTTGTTTAGGTCATTAATTCTCAAAATTTTAGTAAAAAATTCATAACTCACAAACTATAAAAAATCGCGGAACATACATGGGGGTGTTTCGGATTGCCCAAGGGGTGTTCTATCCCGGGACTACCGCTTGACACTACTTTTTGGGACACCCTGTATATTTATTTATTTAGGTAGACGTTATATATACCTATCTATAATATAAAAATGAATCGCTGAATGTGTTGCTAAGCGCAAATCTCGAGAACAGCTGAATTGATTTCGATAATTCTTTTTTTAGAATATTCCTTGAAGTACGAGGATGGTTCTTATGCAGAGACAAATTAAAAACATTGCCTGTAAAATTCCAAAAAGCAACACTTTTCTATACTCCCATACAAACGATTCGTAATAATACTTGGATGTCAATTTGAACTTTAATACCATACCATAAATTTCAATGTTAGTGGAGAGACTCCGGGAAGGCAAAACAATTGAGTGGTGATGTCAACAGAAGTTTGGAAAAGGCAAATACCATTTTCAGTTTTTTTTATATAATTATATGAAGTCATTTTAGTCTACACTACAGCTCTACACCGAAGCGAGGGCGGGCTACTAGTATATAAATAAATAAAAAATATACTTAGTATTATTTATATTCATATTCGTGTCGATTCTGGCTTGACTAAACTTAAAACTTAATTTTAACTTCAGTCGTCCTTTTTATTCTGTATAAATTACTAATTATTAAGTAATTACTATTGTCAAGTTTAAGTTTAGAAAATCATGTCAGAATCGACGCCATTATTTAAGTATATGTACTATCGCGGAATTTTGCGCTCTGTCACTTGGCGAACAAAATGCTTTGAACGATTTCTACATTAGTTTTTACTACGCCCCGCCTTCGCGTCGGACGCGCCAATCCGGGCCGCCGCAAAAAAGGAAGACAGAGGCATTGTCCTAATACAACGCGATAACGCGATCATCGCGCGTTTAAACGACGCGACCATCGCGTGATCGCGAACTGGGTGTCCTAATAGAACGCGAATACGGAACGGGTTAGCCCTGCCCCTCTCCCCGCTTCCTATCGACGCGACGCGATCAGCGCGCGAACTTCGGTTAGGACATCTATTCATCGTTAATAGGTTTGATTGCGCGTTCGCGCGAACTAAGATCGCGCGAATAGATTTTTAAACATTTTAGTCGCGCGAATGCATCGCGCGATCGCCTATTAGGACACCTATTCTAGATCAATATGTTAGATCGTCGACTCGTACGATGATCGCATCGCTCATTCGCGTTATCACGTTGTATTAGGACAATGCCAGAGAGCATTTCATTGATTGAATAATGAATTGAATTGCATTTGTTTTAGTTGCAATTTGCCATCCGCATCGTGATCGCGACAGCGCTATACGAAAAAGTAAGACAGCGATAATTACATGTCTATGAATGAATTTTTACTACGCCGCTACCGCAAGCGATTATGGCATTATGGGTGACAGAGCGGGTCTTTCCGCGAGTGTACTATTCTAGCTAATGTCAGCGAATTCATCTGCCGATAGTAACTGGATTACTAAAGAACCATATATCAAATATTCCATCCTTTCGAGTTATATTTTTGTACCCCACAAGCGCGTGTTAAAGCGCTAAGTGCTAAGGGTTAAAAGCGCTTCAAAGTTATTTTCGCGGAGGTGCGATTTTTTTGACGCCGACTGTATTTTAAAGTTTTTCGTTAATCATTCAAAAGACTTTGAAATATGACGTCACGAAACTTAAGACCTTTCCCACACCTTATCACACTTTGTCGACACTGATTGCTGGATGGCTTAAGATGAATTTACATCCATTATTTTCGCAATAAAAAGGTACTTAGTGTTTAATAATTCTTTCTCCATAATCTCTTCTATTTCTATATCAAAATTCACCAAACTCGGTTCAGCCGTTAAGAAGTGAAGGAGCACCTATCTATATAAAGTTACTTTGGCATATATATAAATACTAGCTGACCCAGCGAACTTCGTACCGCCATCGAAATAGGGGCTGGTGGTAGAAGGGGAAAAATTAGGGTTGTATTTATTTTTAATTCCAAATTATAAAAAAATAAAAAATTTGTCCAAAAAATAAAAAAAACATATGTAAAGGGGTGGACAACCCTTATCACTTAGGGATATGAAAAATAGATAGTAGCCGATTCTCAGACCTACTGAATATGCATATAAAATTTCATAAAAATCCTTCGTGCCGTTTCGGAGGAGTATGGTAACTAACATTGTGACACGATAATTTTATATATAAGATGGCTTCTGCCGATTCCATATTATTATTAGGGATATCAAAAAGGTTTTCATAAATAAAAAGCACGTTCATTTTAAATCTTAAATTTAATGGTAAAATAAATTATCACACTATCACCATAAATTCACTTACATACTACTTAATATAAAACAAATTTGTAAAAGTAAAATAAAACTATGTTTATTCATAAGAATATAATTCATAGGAATCGAAAGGTTTATTCGAAATATGCTTAATCACTTATAGTAGTAAAAACACTCCCTTTTTTTCGTGACAAATTAACTTTGAGACGAATGAACCTCTAGTAGATCATATCTTAACTAGCAAACCAGTGAACCAAATGTTCACCAAAAAAAAAATTGTATCTAATTAATTGAGAACTTCGGAGATTTTGTGTGGTTTCGTTTGAAATAGAAATCACGTGATTTCTCGAAAACCGGAAGTGCTACGTTACTCACATCAGGTTTGTAGTCTTATCAGACTATTCTTAACTTATAACTTAAACATTCTCTATATCTATCTCTTACGGTTTGGCCGCTGAAACAGCACCACGGACGGACGGACGGACTTGTCTATTAGATAAGAGATGGGGTTTGTGATTGACCAAGTTATTTTTCTTCGATTATCAGGGGCCGTATCATCAACTTTTAACGGCAGTACCATTAGTACGAGTTTTACAATTACGAAAACCATGATAGTTTTCGTGAGCTCGCACCCGTTCTAAGGGTACTGATTTTATTGTTTTCGTTTCAATACAAATAAACTGTGTTTTTAATTCTATCATTAAATCATTTGCGTCTTCTTAAATTTTATGTACATTTGGTTACTTTTCACAAAAATGGACATAGTAATATAATTTACAATTACGAAAACTATGATAGTTTTCGTGAGCTCAAACTCGTACTACGGGTACAGGTAAGTTCCATTGTTAGAGCGAGACATCAAATACGCACTTTTTTTTTTTGTTCTGGCGTTAAGCGTTCATAATGCCCCTGGTAGATTATCAAAAAGTATTGGATACGTATTTTTTTTTCCACATAATCAAACCGTTGCAGATATATTGGTTTGAAATGTCGAATAACGTCACGTCTTGGTACAAATTTTATTAGAAGTGACGCCACGAAAATACAAAACTTTTTAGGTGATCATTTAAATATTTCCCACTAAGAACTAGGAGATTTCGCTTTCTTATTTTTTTTCGTTTAATATTAATTCTTAATTTCAACCCTATCATTAGTTATTCCATTATGCAAGCAACTTGCATGCAACTTACTTGTAATTTTAAACTCATATTTATACTTTATTTATACTATACTATACTATCTAAGTTCTAAATCGCTTGCATTTTTTAAAATTTCTTATTTTAGATGAGAAACAGATTTACACATTTTTATAATCAAGTTACTGGCAAAGTTGTATAACTGGCTCAGCCTTATAACCGGCATAAATTTTTTAGGCAAGATGTCATCATCATCATCAACATATTAGTGTCCCCACTGTTGGGGCACAGGCCTTCCCTATGGCTGGAATAGGGAGATTAGGCTATGATGACCCCACCACGCGGGCCCAGTGAGGATTGGCGGGTGCTAACGACTGCAGATGCAGCCAGGACAACTGCTTAACGTGCCTTCCGAAGCACGGAGGAACTCGAGATAGAAGGTTTTTGGCCACCCATCCAATTACCGACCTCTGCGAATGTTGCTTAACTTCAACGATCGCAGCCGTATGCGCCGTATATAACCACCCGCACCATCGAGCTCCTCATAAGCAAAATGTAATAAACAATGTTATTAAGATTTTCGGGATGGTTAAAACAGATCTACGGGAATACCACACAACTCAATTCGCATTACCTTAATGTAAAATTTGACATTGAAACTACATATTTTGTTGCTTAAAACGACCATGTCACTAACTGACCTTTATATACTACAACATACACATAATAATCATACTCAAATTTAAGATCTGATACTATTTATTGGGTACATACATTTGTAGTGGTTTAACTACAATGCGAAGAAATGGCGCTGCCTTGCAGATGAAGAAAGGCTAGTGAAAATTCGACACGACTGTCAGGGTCACGGTAACAGAATAGTCAGTGCATTCGCCCGGATAGCGAAGGGTGCGGATTCAAGTCCCGTCTGCTGCCTGGTCGGGATACATATTTGTATTTATACAATATGTCACAGTAATCAAAATGTGAGGGGACGTTGTATTAAGCCAGAAACATATTAACGTGTCGTGGCGTGACGTGGCGCATCGGTTTCATACATTTATTATGGGTTAGAGAGAGATAGAGAGGTTAGAGCGTCGACACGACACGACACTTAAATATGTCTCTAACCATAGTAAATGTGCTGTGCCGATGTGCTTCTGGCGCGCCACGACACGACACGTTAATATGTTTCTGGCTTTAGTAGCGACATGATTTTTTGTAAATGTTGCTACTACTGTTAAATGCTGATGAGTTTCTTGCGCCCATTCTTCTCATCAGATAAAATATGTCCTGAATGTATAATTCAATAAATGAAACGTGCTTAAACGGATTCAAATAGTCTTTTTGACGAACAAACGTCAAAACAGTTCTAAAGAAAACGTTACTAGAAAAACATCCACGCGGACCAGGGAGCTGGAGTACAAATGCTCGTATTCATCACACAAACATCGGCCCCCACCGGGATTCGAACCCGGGACCTCTCGAGTAGCCGACACCATGAAACCCGACGTACAAACCACTCGACCAAGTAGGTCATCAATAATTTTGTCTTTAAATCTAAAGAAAATATTAATGGAAAATATTCCACGCAGATCAGGTAGGTACCTACTACCGCTACCTAATGGTCATCAGGGCGGCGAATGCACTGACCATTATGCTGATGGTCAGTGCATTCGCCCGAATAGCGAAGGGTGCGGGTTCGAGTCCCGTCTGCTGCCTGGTCCGCGTGGAATTTTGTCCAGTAATATTTTCAGGCCTGTGATAATAGGCTGATGATGATGATGATGATCAAAATTTTCTTTAGATTTAAGGTATTATAATTTGGCATTGTGGGTTATCTACAATGCGAAGACATGGCGCTGCCTTACAGCTTAAGAAAGGCTAGAAAGAATTCGACACGGCCATCAGGGCCGCAGTAGCATAATGGTCTGTTTATTCGCCCGAATAGCGAAGGGTGCGGGTTCGAGTCCTGTCTGCTGCCTGGTCCGCGTGGAATTTTGTCCAGTAATATTTTCAGGCCTGTGATAATAGGCTGATGATGATGATCAAAATTTTCTTTAGATTTAAACATAGAGCAGTTACATGCTTAATAAAGTTAATAAAAGAAATATATATCAAAAAACAAAGTTGTTAAATATGGCGTACCTCAAGGCAGCGTACTAGGGCCATTATTGTTCTTAGTTTATATTAATGACATCATAAACTGTACTAGTCATCCTATGATATTATTTGCTGACGATAGTACCATTTTTATTGAAAGAAATGAAAACATTGACTATAGTAATGACATATCTGGTGCTGTGACAAACGTAATAAACTGGTTAAACAATAACAATCTTATAATTAATTTAAAGAAGACTAACATAATGCATTTTTCTCAAAGAAAACCTACTCTTATCTCTGACATTGAAATTAAAGGAGTAAATGTCCATAGAACAGACACTGCTCGATTCTTGGGGATTCATATTGACAGTAATATGACCTGGGAATCTCATTCCATAGATGTATGTAAAAAATTATATAAATTCTCATATGCCCTGTACATGTTGTCTAAGTCAGTTGATCGAAAGACATTGCTTATGGCATATCATGGCTATGTTGTTGCAACACTACGATATGGTATTATTTTTTGGGGCAATTCTTCTTACAGAGAAATTATATTTAGAGCCCAAAAAAAGTGCATTCGAGCAATATGTAGACTGAAACCCACAGAAAGTTGCAAACCTTTCTTCAAATCTTTAGCACTGTTAACTTTTCCTAGCCTCTATATTTTTGAATGCTGTACATTTATTAAATGTAATCCAAACTTGTTTGAAGTAATAGAGCCTGAAAAAGATTCCCGCCTACGCCCAAGAAAGCCGTATATCCGTACTCTGCCTTGTAAAACGGCTATGATGGAGAAGAGTGTAGTAACCATGGCTCCACGGCTATATAATAAATTGCCTGATAGTCTTAAAAAGTTAGACGACCTTAAATTCAAAACTGTATTGTCTAAACTTTTGATTGACAAATGCTTTTATGACATTAAGGATTTTTTACTGACAACTTGATATTTTGACATTTCAATTATGTAATTTAACTTAATTTTAATACGCGGATGTAATATAAATTTTTGACATTTGTAAAATTATTATATAGGTATTATTTGTTTTTTTTCTTTTCAACATTTGATACTTTTTTTTTTTTTAATGTTTTGTTATAACAGGTATTGTAAATAATGTAATAATATATAAATAACTTCATAAATTCATATACCAGAATGGTGAAACATAGACAGGACTAATACTTTTATTGTAACATCACTATTGTACCTATGTTTATGAATAAATTAATTCTATTCTAATTCTATTCTATTCTATTCTAAAAAAGTCAAAATAGTTATTTATGATTAACTAGTGCGATAAATTGATTTTTACAAACGAGTAGATGAATGTCACGAAATGTCACCATAGAGTTTGTAAATACCAATACCGCAAGTATATCATACAACGTTTCTCAGCACATTTACGAGAAAACATTATAATTTTTAATTAATGAAACTAAACTTTTTCTATGACGAAAATGGCGCGCATTTCCACGTGGCGGCACGTGCTAGTGGTGAAAATTAGAACGACATCTTTCGGATCTGTTTTCCTTTTTTTTGTATTAAACTGAGCCACACGTATGGATCAAAAGAGCTTCCAAGGAGAATCGATCTATATAAAAAAAACCATAAAGGATACGCACGATGCCATAAACCGGAGCGTGCGGTAAAAATTTTACTGCATGCTCTGTTGTTTGGTGCGTAATTTTGCACTTTCAAACAATGTGGAAAACCTCCGTAAATGCATTTTTTGGCAAATGTGTTGATTAAGACGCATTTTGAACCTGTTTAAGCGTGAGTGGTGTCCGTAAAATCTTAAGAATCAATAATTCACTGTGTAAAGTATAATTTCATTTGATTTTAAACTATCATTTTAAATTAGTTTGAAATGTCAAATTTTACATAATGTTCATACCAATGTGGTTACATGATGAACTTGACCTATTTACATTTCCTTCGTCTATTCACTAATAACTTATTCACAACTTGTTTATTAAATATAAAACTTACAATAAGTCCCATATCTTATCACTGTATATTAGGGCATAACATCTAGTTCTGGTGGTAGCGGGATGCTCTTCATTATAGCGAATCGCTTCAACGCATCATACTTGCTTCGGAGGGCTTCGATCTCTTCGCGGATTCTGTTGTTTTCTTCTTGCATCAATTCCATATCATGCCACTCCTGGTGACAGATTTAAAAGTATTTAAATTACTGTAGAAAAAACCATAACATTCAATGCCTAAAGAGGAGGACAAAGAGACATAATCTATTATGAAATGAAAATGCAGTCATTTATTCAGTCTAGGCAGTTACAAGCACTTGTGAAGGTCAGGAAGCTACGCCATCGGTTCGCAAAACTACGGCGGGAGATCTTTTACTGAGAAGAACCGGCAAGAAACTCGGCAAGGGCTGTTTTTTTCTCCCTGTATTTTATATACAGAGTCGTTAAGTTGAAAAATGACTTCAGAGATACGTCTGAAGTCACCTTCCATTACATCATTTAGAATATAAATATATAGTTACAATAAATTTGATAGTCAACTTTATATTTAGTATAAAGGAACGGGCATTAGATAGGTAGGTACTATATTACTGTTATAAAAAATGACTATTATGATACATGTGTGTGTAGTGTAAGTTGTCTGTGTATGTGTCTGTGATGAGCGTCTTATGCTTGAGCTTCATTACAAACCTTTATAACCTATCATTTGTAATGAAGCTTAAGCATAACACGCACAAACCTATACAAATACACATATACACACACCCAAACACACACCAATACACACACATGTATTGTTGCTGTTAATGTAGTTAATGTGATTTTAAATGGATATTTTTAATTTTTTTCTCGTCATTCATTTGTCTACATTCAACAATACCTAATAAATTTTGTCATCTTCGTAAGGAACTGGCTTCTGATTCTGTAAATAATTGGCAACATCTTTTATCAACTGTAGTAAGGTAATTACATAGTAAGAGTTCTCATAATTTTCAAGATTGTGACTATCAAAAGTTCCTGAGCCTTTTTTCATAGAAATTATAAATATTCAGCCACTTACCATTAAATATTACAAAGTAGAGTATTTATACATTGCCAGGGCGATATCTCATACAAAACTTTACCATGTCCTTTAACATCAGTCTTACTCTATACAGAATGACAAGGATATACTGCTGTCATATTTAATTTTAAGTTTAGCGAATCATGCCAGAATCTGTAATCTGTACCAGTGTGTCTGTGTCATAATGAAAATACTTACCTGACTCTTCTCAGTCTCTAACTCATCTTTTTGCTCTATCCTCTTGATGCGACACGAGGCTGCATAACCGCGATTTTTTAGTGTTCTACGACGTTGTTTCATCCTGTAATATAATATCTAAATATGCATATAAATACAATAAAAATATTATAAACAGGGAAGATTTGGGAAACAAAATTGGTGCTTATAATTTACAAAACGGCAAACCCCAATGGGATTATAAACCAGGACCACCTAGGTCTTATTAGATGGTAATAAATCATCATCATCATCAGCCTATTAATGTCCCCATTGCTGGGGCACAGGCCTTCCCTAGGGACAGAATAGGGAGATTGGGTCATGACTCACGCGGGCCCAGTGCAAATGGGCGGGTGCTAACGACTGCAGATGCAGCCGGGACCAACGGCTTAACGTGCCTTCCAAAGCACGGAAGAACTCGAGATAGAAAATTTTTGATCACTGATCCAATGACCGACCACAGCGAAAGTTGCTTAACTTCAACGATCGCAGCCGAACGCGCTAACCACCCCGGCCATCGAGCTCCTCATATAAATCATCGAAATTTATTCAAACATAACCATATAAATCAGACAGATATGTTTATAAATAATTTATAAAAAATATATTGTTAATTTTAGAACTTCTTCATTTTAAAACCATTTAATTACAAAGAAAAAAAACATACATATTATAATGTATGTTAAGAAAAAGAAATAGAACTTTAAAACTAGAAAATTGGGATCTTTACTTGTTGCTCTAAGTGACTATTCGAGTTAAAAAAAATATTTAAGCCCACTGTTGTAATTTGAGCGTTCACAGAGCTCCTAAAGGTGCATATTATAATCTCACCACTCAAGCTTGTGGGTATTTACCATTGAATCTCCATGTAATAGCAACTGCTCTCCCCCTTAAATAAATGTTTCAAATCAAAATAATAAGCTTTAAGCTATAATTTTTTTTAAAGCATGTAACTGCTTGATGTTTAAATCTAAAGAAAATATAACTAGAAAAAATTCCAGGCACCGTGAGGGCCGCAGTAGCATAATTGGTCAGTGCATTCGCCCGGATTGCGAAGGGTGCGGGTTCGAGTCCCGTCTGCTGCCTGGTCCGTGTGGAATTTTTTCTAGTTATATTTTCTTTAGATTTAAGTTTTAAGCTTTTTCATATTTAATATAACAGTTTTCTACTTCCCACCTGACAATCTGATCCCTTGTGAGCCCTCTCATTTTAAGCTGCCTGTTGAGGTCTCGTACTGATATGGAGACCAGCTCATCATCACTGATCTCAGCACACGGAGTCGGTGATAAGGGAGCCTGAAAAGTCAAAATTCAAATTGGATGCAAAATACAACTCTTTTGAAACATCTATATTTTAATATAAAGAAAATATAACTAGAAAAAAATCCACGCAGACCAGGCAACAGACGGGACTCAAACCCTTACCCTTTGCAATCCGGGCGAATGCACTGACCAATTATGCTACCGCAGCCCTCACGGACCGCATGGAAATTCTTCTAGCCATTCTTAAGCTGCAAGGCAGCGCCATCTCATCGCATTATAGGTAACCCACAATGTCAAATGAATACTTTTAAAAGTATTAAACATTTTGAAAGAAGAAATAGCAATTAAAGTTACAATTTTTATTATTTTAAAGCATGTAACTGCTATTTATATTTTCTTTAGATTTAAACATCAAGCAGTTACATGCTTTAAAATAATAAAAATTATAACGTCTATATTTTTTTCCCTACCACCAGTTAAGGGCATTTTTTAGCTTTAAATACTTTATTTTCAAGGTTACTTGATGAGATTTGATATTCGGTTTAATTTAATCTTCCCGGGTGTCTTCTAATCAGCTGAGTAAAAGTTTATTAATGCAGCAGTTTCAAAAATCTCTATAGATCGATGTTTCCTAAACTATTTGCACAGACATTTAATTGTATGTGGTTATTGGTAGTTTAGTACACTTATTTATATATTTAATCTTTCAAGAGTAAACCAGAGTGACTGTGGACCCCTGATACACATGCTAAGGTACCTTAAAAGGTCCATAGCCCTCACTTTATGGAACCTTTCTGTAAACAATGCTGCCGTCCTCAGACTGAAGTGTGGCTAAGTGACATGTGATAGATTTTCAGTCTTAAATTGCATCTTACAGAGTTTTTAATTCTCTATTGATAAGTCGTTATCAAGTATTAGTATCTTTTATAGTTTAAGTTTAAAAATACGTCATGTGATTAAAGGTTACAAAATAGCAACAAATTTAAGTTTACACGCCAATGTTTGGCCATATCTCAAAAGTTGGTTTTGTCATTTTGTCGCATTTTCGCTTGAGGACGGCATGAACTGACAGTCTGTCAGTTATGTTTATAAACAACATAGAACTAAACCGATATGATATGACATACAGTGCTGTCTTATTATAATATTATCCCCAAGCAGTCGTTAAAGGAAGATATTTGGCCACGTTAATAAGACCCTACCTACTTTAAAAAGAAAACTAAGCTTCTTAAGCCCTGACAGTGTTGAAACCAATATGGATAAAAATAAAGCTTTTTTATCAAATGTAAATGTGGTAAGTGTGATATTTAAAGCATTGTCCTGGAAATCCCACAACCATTTGTTGTTTACAGAGATTTCTGGCGTGAAACTTCACATCAAGGTGTAGAAAAAGTAAATGATAATCCATTTACGTTACGGAATCAGAATTCTGGTGAAATTCTCCTTTGGTTATGCATTTAGCTAATTCATTGTTTCTGCTTACCATTATTGCTTTCCTCACACCCAGTTCTTTTAAATCATGAGGCATAATAACGTTTGTGGTCCAATATAATAAAGTCGGTGTCCCGTTAAAAGTCCTACTTCACTCTGTTGTATTCACAAAAGACCAAATCTACTTGTTTCTTGAGAAATTCAAACTAAAACTTTAACCGAGTATTAGTGGTCTTTTTAAGAGATAAATGACCTTGTAAGGAAAATAAAAAAAACCTGTTCTTTCTAGGTTTTATGATATTTTTCGTCTTAATATTGTATTAATTCCACTACTTCGTACATCATATAACGAACGAATGATTGAAGTGAACTAATGAAATACTGACTGATTTTAAATGACAGATTATTAAAAAGTAGTTCATGAACGAATGAACTAGGTTCAAAAAGGTTGTGATTGTGACGAATGACCTACGCAAATTCATAGTTCCCTGATCCACATTTCCTTAGTTGACTTGAAGCGACACGTCATATCCATTCATTGTATTCTATTAATAATTAAGCATATTCGAATTTAGTTATTATCAAAAGTTTTATTGTTTTTGATAAGTATATAAAAAAATGATTTAATATTTTAACAGGATTTTCAGATTTTCTACAGAGTTTTATGAAATCATGTCTTGAATTAAATTAAATATTTATAACTTAAATAAATATTTGACGCACGGTCTTGAAATAAATTACATTTGAAAAAAAAACCCTGGTCGGTCCAACTAGTAGTTCCCCAAATCAACCAACGATATGTTCTGTATCATCCTACATAATAAGGAAAAAATATTTTCAGCTTATAGAAACCCTTGTTATTTTATCTTGTTGAGAGGTTTATTATGTATTCCAATAGATTATGTAACTTCCGTTATGCATTAATCTTAACTTTCTGAGTGAAAATCACGTTAAGTTAAGGAAAACAGAAAAAAATGGTTTAAACTCCGATAGTGAAATAGTGTAGCTTTTTCATTATATCATCACTTCTAACCATAAATAAATAAACAAACTATGGAACATTCAAATTTTAAGTTACCTAAGCCTCAAAGAAAAACTGCTTAAATTTATCCATCAACTCCAACACGAGATCTCATTCAGACTGTCTGCATAAGTTCCTGGTGGCATTTGTCAAACTTCAAAGAAGAACTAGTTCTGTGGCAACTGCAAACTAACTGAGAACGTCACTTTGATGACTTAAGTAAAATACAAATACTATGGTGTCGATTCCGGCGTGATTCTCTAAACTTAAAACTAAATTTAACATCAGTCTGTCTTTTCATTCTGTATAGAGAATGACAAGGATACGCTGTTATCAAATTTAAGTTTATATTTAGAGAATCGTGCCAGAATCGACACCACTGTATTCCAATTATAATAATAATAAGTTGAACTCAGTTGTAGTTAAGTTGCTAATTAAACATCATGAAAGTGATACAAAAAATAAAAGGATAATTTAATGTTGAAGAAAGGCTTTATAAAATAATTATTCTTTAACTTAGAGCAAAATAAAAAATTGTCCATGGTTAAAAATACCATTGTCTATGGTTAATAGTTATGTATTCTAGAGTTCAATTTCCAATTTTATCGAGACATTCGTTATGAAGATAAATCGATTGGTTCATCTTGTCTAAGATTTGGTCGTCTATCAGCTAATTAAGATAATGATCCCTCAATAAAAATGTAAATTTCGTGAAGAAACTTATTTCACGATAAAATCTTTAAAATGTTTTGAATTTATAGTAATATTTAAATGCTAATTCTATTTTATTGATATTAATGAATTGTCCCTCAAGCGTTAGGGTGCGGCCAGAGTGCACTCAGATTCAGATTCAGATTCCGAAAACAAGCGCGAGAAATAAACAGTGTAGTCGAAGGGTACGGCCAGAGTGCACTCCTGATTCAGATTCAGATTCAGACTCAGAAAACAAAGCGCGAGAAAAAGCAGGCAACCTGCTTAGACTACACTGTTTATTTCTCGCGCTTGTTTTCAGAATCTGAATCTGAATCTGAGTGCACTCTGGCCGCACCCATATACCGACAAGTCAGACCTTACTTTAATAAACGGATAACATTTTTTGAGCCATTCATTTATTACCTAAAACTATTTGCGCTAGTTTTTCGAGTAATAATAAGAATAATCCAATAACCACCAACCCCCTGTTTCATATTTATTATGTAATAATCTTAAGGAATAAATTAATATTTGTATAAATAAGTTTGATTTTTTTTGCGTTCATTTTCTAAGAACCAAATAGCAATAATTATTTGTAACTTCAAAGGTGCTAGTAATTTCTATTATTTCGGCAGAAATGAACTACTTTTTCAAAGTATAATCTTTATTTTGCGCATTATTGTGATGTTACAAAAAACTTATTAAGACACTCTCACACGCTCTTTGTAAGAGAAAAATAAAACGTGGTCTCTCTCCCTAAATCTCCTTATGATAAATGAATAGTACCTTTGCCGTTGTGAAGTAGCGCAACCAGGTGTATTGTTTTAATACTTACTTGTTACTTAGTTTGCGAATCTTGCCCAAAAAAGTTTTTGTTACTGTGGGATTATAAAAAAAGTAAATTTTAATAGGTGGGTAATTAATATTCATTTCTTTAAATGATAGATAAAAATAAAATTAAATGTGCTTGTTTTTATTCATTGAATGTTGCTATAATATATAAGTGTCGATTCTAAAATGATTCTCTAAACTTAAAACGAAATTTAACAGTTTACTTTTGAATTTAAAGAATGCGCCATTAGGCTATATATTTTGTTTCGAAAGAAGAAAAAGAAAACGAAATAAAGGACACCTTATTTAGAGTTCCTCTTACAAAGCTCTGTAACATCTTCTTCCAAAATATGATCAAACAGAATAAAAAACGAAACAAGACAAATACTTCTTGAACTTGATTAGTTCAATTCACAATAATCGATAATAATAAAATCGAATAAAGTAAAGACAGACATTCTTTCATGTCATGCACGCATTCCCCGCACATCACTAAGCGAGAAGGAAAAAGTGATTGAATTTGCATTGCAAGCGATCTCATCTCAATTTAATTCAGTTTTATTTTAGTTCATAAAAGTGTAAGACAATGACTAAAAGAAAGAATAAACCGTTGATTGATTCTGATTCTAGTAGCGAGTGTTCGGATTTCGATTCCGTAAGTATATACATTTAATCTTAGGTTAGAAAAACGGCTTTACTGACAGACGGGTTTCTACGACATTCTTTCAGTGATTCGTCTGCGTATTTAGGCCAAGATCAATGTTTCGCCGCGCTAATTCACCATAATGCGCAGCATTTCTTAAAATATGTCACATGGCATTAGAAAATAGACGCTAGAATCCCTTTTCAAACGTTCTCAAAACATCTTTGAAACGTAGTGTTTTGCCTTGCGTGAAACATGTCTGAGAAACAATTTACGGCATGACTCATGTTTTTTTGAAAAATCAGGCATTAAATCGTATTTATGAGTACATTGGTTTGATTTATTATATAGAAAATGCTTAGTATTTACATTTTTGTCCATTAGAAAAGTTAACTGCCATTTTTAGTGAACAATTTACAGTCTGCTGATGAAAAATTCTTGTAGTTACATAATTCAGGGTGGAGACTTTCACTTTTGTCTAGATTTTCCATTACATCATCAAAAATCTATATCTTTAGATTTCAGCTTGTGTTTGCTACAAGCTAATTTGAGCATGTTGTTATTGTTCTGTGTTGCTATTCTAAAAATATTTTTCAATATACAAACCTAAAACGTAGTTTCTGATTAAGTGTTTACCATCAATCAAACTAAATGAAGATAGTATATTTTGTTGATGGTATGTAAAATTACTTTAATATATGATAAAAAAAGGCAATGAGATTTGCATAATCCAGATTTTAGAGTAGATAATGTTTAAATTGTTTTATTTTAAACTAGCAATTCCTGAATCTTGCAAAAAAGAAGAAAAAGGGTGACTCCCCACCCCCTGCGAAGGCCAAGTCAAAGTCATCAGGGAGTGAATCAGATTGGGATGAAAACGACAAAAAAGAGAGTTAGTATTCTTTCTCCTCATTATTTATTAGAAATTCATATTTTGACACTTTTAGTGCAGTAGCCAAGCAAATCTAGGTTTGTCTGTCATAAATGAGCTACTAAGTACAGCTGCCTCTAATTGTCATTAGTGTACCTGATTTGTTAGTACAATATGAAAAACAGTCGAAACCAGATATAACGACATCGAAGGGGCCAGATAACTTTGTACAATATGTCTGATACTTGTTAGAAGCATTAGACACAAGTTGGCATATTAATTGTATTGTAGGTATATTATAAGTTGTAAGTAATGAATTTGAGCTTGTTTTAAGTTATTACAGTACCTACAGTTTGTTTTGTTTTGCTGGAACAAGTAAAATGGTTGGTCCTTATAGCCCATGAATATTGAGATGAACAATATTCATCAGCTATAAGTCATTTACAGTGCCACGTGATAGGTATGTTGTTATTTCGGATGTAGTAAAAGGCGGTTTGTTTATTTAATGGTTTATATAGGGTATTTTCCGAGACCTTGCAAATTGTTTGTAATAATCAATGCATCGTTATATTCGGGGTTGACTGTTTATAGTAGGAGTAAGGGTATCAACTATTGAGATTGATAAAGTTTGATTTTATTCAATGCAAATAATGAATACTATGATGCATTATGCAGTTACATAAAAAGTGCCAAATTGTTGCATTAGTTTTTCACTTCAAAGCTCAGGCTTTGGTTAAGCGTTAATACATGCCGTAGAGAATGATGTTTATCTCACTAAGCTGGAAACAGTTCCATCTATTAAAATTTCTTCTTTGCTTCGGATGGCACCCACCAATGCATACTGGGCTGATGTGGTTGGTCACGGCCCAATCTCCCTATTCCATCCATAGGGAATGCCTGTGCTGCTGCAGTAGGGACATTAATGGGCTAGTGATGTAATATAAAATGCATAAAACAATTATGTCGAAAATATTGTCGTAAAATAATAAATAAGATACACTCAGTGGCTGCCCTAGAGGTAATGACTCATTTATACTATAGTTATTGCAAACACAGTCTATAATAAAAGAGACATTGATAAATACACCAGAACCTCTTAAATTCAAAGTCTGAAAATTTCATCTCCATTTGAATTCATGGAGAGTTCTTTTTTTGAAACAGAAAGTTTATAGGGTATTTATTTATTAATCTAATTATAAATTTATAGGGATTATGTATGACTGACTACTTTACAGGCAAATCATCATCATCATCAGGGTCGGACTCTGATAGTGATGCAGGCAGTGTTGCGTCAAATAAGAAAGAGCAACGTCGCAATTCCCGTAAGACTTCATCGGAACACTCTGATGACAGTAGAAAGAAACCTGAGCCTAAGAAGGTAGAGGTCAGGAAAAGCACCGACAGTAATGGATCTGGGAAGAAAAAAGACACATTCAGTGAGCCTGAAGAAGGTCAGTATAATCTACTATTTATATATCTGTTACTATGTTCAATTTCTAATCATCGTTTTAAGCAACTTTCGTAATGACGGATTAGGATGGGTGGGTAATCCTCAAAAAAAATAGATAACTAACCTACTTTTTAGGTTTACAATTATATTTTTAGGTGATCATTTATTTTTTTTGGAAAATTTATGGTCTATATCATTACAGCTGTTAAAGCCTATTCTAGACGGATGTAATCCAGGGTCCCAACAAAGGTGACTTTGCCTGTTGCCTTTCATCTAGACGATGGATGTAATCCAAATTTTGATTTGACCTTCAACGTCCTTGGATTACGGGCGTGTTTCCATCCGCGGTTAAAGCGCGCTGACTACAACCATTTGGGCGGCGGATTACATCCGTCTAGAATAGGCTCAATGGGATTGTTTCCGTGTATCTTGTTTTTTATGAGTCGGCACTGTTGCAAGCGCCATGATCACAGAGTAACTGAAGTAATTGCGGGTGGATGATATTGGCAGACATATCGGTCTACCCTCTGACGATGTCTTTTATTGCGCTTGGTTACCCTACCACTGGTCACATTTTCCCTATTCACTCGCACCTATTCCCAACACACAATAACAGATCGCGGAACGACATTTTTTATATTTATGCGGTTTTTGCACATTCAAGCCACTGGATTCCAGACACACAAAGTACATGGTAACAATCCCGTTTATAGCTATAAAGATCTATGTTTTTTTGAGAGTTCTCAATATTTTCCCCTTTTGAAAGCTTGTTAAGCTGATGGTCCCAGCTGAATCAGCAATTGTTTGTTTGTACCCTTTAAATAAAACAAAAAGTGAAGATACGGTACGCTCATACTAGCATCAAATAAAATATGATCCTTGATCTCATAGGCCTATCATTTAATATTAAGGAATAATTTAATCAAATTGTTATGAAGATTTAAATTTATTCTAACAGGTGAAGTATCGTCACACTCTTCGGACAACGACTCCATTGACTCCGAAGAGGAATTTGATGATGGGTAATGATATTTTTTCTATCATCATCTAATTAAAATAGAATTATTTATAGTCGAACTTTAGTAATTTAGATTTCTTCTTTGATGGCTCCTTCAAGATTTAGCGAATGTTTTGTGTATTTATCCAAAATAGCCTGTCTGTACACAGTTTGTCTGTTGTTTTTAACTCTGTTTATGTATGCTATGATAGGGCCTCAGTACATAATGGACAGTATGTAGTAATAATAAAACTTTCATCAACAGAAGGCCTCAAACTCGTTTACTATCTTTTTTTACCTATGCAATTCCTCATATCACTATTTTTTTACATTATCAAAAATTATTTCTTGGACACGTATTTTTTGTTTATTTACATTATTAAAACATTACAAAGATATATTGATTTAAAATGTCGCGTGACGTCACGTCTTAGTACACTTGTTACTAAGAAGTGACGTCAAGGGACTCCCAAACTTTGACACCCTTAATCTTTGTTAATTTCTGATTGATTGACAAAAGAGAAATATGTGTCCATTATTTTCTGATAATTTAATGACGAATTTTACCTTTACCCATTTATATCATTCCTTTTCATCCAATATTTTAGGTTTTTGAAATAAAATCTTTAAATGCTCTTAGATATGACGAGAATCTTATGGGAGATGAAGAGGATAGGGCACGTCTCGCCGCCATGTCGGAGAAGGAGAGAGAACAGGAGATCTTCAAGAGGATAGAGAGGAGAGATCTCATGAAGACAAGGTAATTATAATTTTTCTTATAGGAATATCGTTTAAACTATAAACTATTTTTTGTTACATAATATTATGTTCATTTGTTGTTTCATAATATAACTTGTTATTTCAATATTTGATCATCACACTTCTAAATGCTCCTATTGGGATTCATATCCAATACTTTTGGGAGTAGAAAGCAGGAGTATAACCAATGCTGTAACAAAAATTGGAGTTTTTTATAAAAAATGTGTCTATTTTGGCTTCATATTTAGCGGAGTAGAATTTTTTGTACTAAAAGGTTTCTTTACCACTATAACCATAATACTCTTTCAACCAATTTATATAAGAGGAGGATCACAATTTGTCTGTATATTTTTTTTTAAATTGTTAGCATATACGTGTCGACAGTTTTGTTTTTGCATTATTCAGTTTTTGTATCAGCATCAGCCCATTAATGTCCCCACTCAGTGCCGTCTTTGACCTTTTGGAAGCCCTGGGCATATAAGAATAATGGGGCCTCTATGAACTAGGGACTTTGTATTTGATCTGAGGGAGGCTCCTATTGATCGCGGGGTCCTGGGCACTTGCCCAAAGTGCCCACTGGGAAAGACGGGTCTGTCCCCACTGCTGGGGCACAGGCCTTCCCTATGCATGGATTAGAAGATTGGGCTATGACCCACCACGCGGGCCCAGTGCGGATTGTTGGGTTGACCAACGGCTTAACGTGCCTTCCGAAGCACTTTCAACCAATTTATATAAGAGGAGGATCACAATTTGTCTGTATATTTTTTTTTAAATTGTTAGCATATACGTGTCGACAGTTTTTTTTTGCATTATTCAGTTTTTGTATCAGCATCAGCCCATTAATGTCCCCACTCAGTGCCGTCTTTGACCTTTTGGAAGCCCTGGGCATATAAGAATAATGGGGCCTCTATGAACTAGGGACTTTGTATTTGATCTGAGGGAGGCTCCTATTGATCGCGGGGTCCTGGGCACTTGCCCAAAGTGCCCACTGGGAAAGACGGGTCTGTCCCCACTGCTGGGGCACAGGCCTTCCCTATGCATGGATTAGAAGATTGGGCTATGACCCACCACGCGGGCCCAGTGCGGATTGTTGGGTTGACCAACGGCTTAACGTGCCTTCCGAAGCACTGAGGAACTCGAGATGGAAGATCTTTGGTCAACCATCCAATGACCGAGCACTGCGAAAGTTGCTTAACTTCAACGATCGCAACCAAACGCGCTAAACACCTGCGCCATCGAGTTCCTCAGTTTTTGTACAAATAAATATTATAAACAATCGATGAAATCTTGTTATCAGATGGGAGATTGAACGTAAACTCCGCTTAGCCCGTCGTTCCGCGGCCGAAAGATCAGCTTCACCCGGCGAAATAGCGAGACGGCGAGAAGCTAGGAAGAGAAGGAAAGCGATGCGAGACACCAGGCAGAAGGAGAGGGAGAAAGAGAGAGAACGGGAGAGGGAGAAGGAGAGACAGAACTCGGAGAAGAGAGGTCAGTGATAATACTTATTTTAGGTTATATTTATTATTAAAATGTCTAATATCTGTGTAAAGTTTAGGAGATAGCGAGGTACCTAACTCTTTCAATCTATGAATGAACATAGCAATTTAAATGTAACTCGTCTATCTCTCATTTAGTTGCTTGTCCGACAGGGTTCATAATGATATTTATTACGTATTTTCTCAAAACTTGTATTTACCACCTTATTGTACATTGTAGATGAGCAATAAAGAACTTGAAATTGAGTTAAGAAAGAGAAGTAAAGATAGGCAGAAGGAGAGAAAGAGACAAAACACTGAAAAGAGAGGTTATTTAATCATAATCGTAATCATGATAATTACTATATTTATCATGAAACCTTAATTGATTTCTAATGAAATCATGGTTTTGTAATGTAAATTCAGATAGGTTATATCCTACGTGCTTGCGAGTGTTTGTTACTATTTTGTTCCCGTCATACCATAGATAATCTGTAGACTAAAATGGCCGACAGCGTTTTTGTATGTTCATGAAAAATCTATTTTAAAAATAAAGTTTTGTAGCTTTTGTAAGGTAAAAAAAATTAAAAAAAAAACTGTGTAACTATTTATCTAGTTTGTTATTTCAAAAAAAGAAAGAAAAAGGCTGGAGATGATGGCCGGGTAATGGTAGCCGATTTAGCTTCTCAGCTTCCATTTAAAGTGAGAGTTGTAACGGGCGCCGGGAAGTTGGTAACATCTCCAGGTGTCCGGAATAACTTACGGGAACATCAGCTTTTAATCTCAAAGGCAGTTTTGACTAGGGTTGAATGATAAAGGTGTTTTCCTCTTCAATTATTTATTGTGAAAGTGTACATACCAGATTGGATTCCAGGCGTCAAAGTACATTAAGTATTGGATTTACTTAGACTATTATGGCTGGTCCATGGTCAAAGATATCAAAATGATATTTATAAAGATATCATTAAAATTAAAGATGAAGCTAAAGAAATTAAGGGTTATAAAGACCACTTAAAGAGCTGAAACAAAAGAGACATTTGTGAGACCAGGCAACATGGCTAGATATATGTATGACAATTTTAATCTTAATTCTTACCTGCAATCGCAGCTCTTTTAAAGTTTTACCAAAGGGCCATTGGCACCTATATTAATTCACATTAATGCGGTGAGCGCATTTTTGAAAAACAAGTTATATTTAAGGTTATTATATTTCACATTTTAAAAAAGTGACTGCTCATGTCTGCAAAGAATCGAAAAGTAATGTTGCCAGGTCGCACTTCGAAAAACGCCGCGAGTCTCAGTGTTGGCGCATTAAAATTTAAATTTGGGCATGGACAAACCATAAATTACAAAAGTTTACTTAAATTTAGAACGACAATTATTACGTATTTATTTTAATGTTTTATAAAATTAAGACAATTTTTAAAGATGTGTTTCGTTTATTAAAAAAATAGGGAAAATCCTTAAGTGACGGATGTCAAACCATATATTATTTATTTATGTATGTGACGGCGTAGATACGACGTTATTCTTTCAAGGTCAAAAAGAAATACAATACATTTTTTTTTCGGCCTAATTGAACAATTATTAACCATATAAAACATATTTCCAAAAAGTGTCAACTAGCCTATGCCTATTAAGTATAATAACCTTAAATTGATGAAATTAAATTTCTTTTGAACTTCGTTATTGAAAGTTCGTTTCAGAGAAAGAGAGTGGACCTGATTCTCCTTACCTTTTACTGGAGGTTGTTTATTGAAACCCGACCGTTAAAGATTCAGCGGAGTCCATTCTTTGATAATATGGTTAGACTTAGTTCTACAGCGTAACAAGGCAAAAATACTTCTGTTTGAAATATTCCTATCGATCTGTCAGTTTGAAAATACAAATATTTTCAATTAAGAGGCTTTAATGATTTGTTTTGCCTTCAGTTTACCTATCAAAATAATATTGAAATAAATTAAATGCATAAAGACAATCTATATCTTCTATAATATAAAAATGAGTCGCTGAAGGTGTTGCTAAGCACAAATCTCGAGAACAGCTGAACCAATTTCGATTTATTATTTTTTTAGAATATTCTTTGAGTTATGAGAATGGTTCTTATGTAGAGAAAAATTAAAAAAAATGCCTGAAAATGTCCAAAAACAACACTATCATATGATGATCATCATCATCATCAGCCTATTAATGTCCCCACTGCTGGGGCACAGGCCTTCCCTATGGATGGAATAGGGAGATTGGGCCATACACACTATCTATACTCCCATACAAACGATTCGTAATAATACTTATAAGTCAATTTGAACTTTAATACCATACCATAAATTTCAAATGTTAGTGGAGAGGTTCCGGGAAGGCAAAACAATTGAGAGACGTTATGTTAATAGAACTATAGAAAAGGCAAATATACCATTTTCAGTTTTATTTTATAATTATATGAAGAGTCAGTTTAGTGTACACTACAGCTCTACACCGAAGCGAAGCGAGTGCGGACCACTAGTAAGAAATAAAAGTTTTGATGTATGTTACGAATTTCGTATTTGCGAACAATGTAACTGTCTTGAATTTTTTTTACATTATTTTCAGTTCCTTTTTCATTCCCTGTGCAGCGTGTTAAGTATATACACAATATACATAGTAAACTTTAGTTTTTAGTTGAGTAAATCAAAGTTTAGTCATATTTATTTAACTTTTTATTCCACTAGAAGCTGAAGAAGAGAAACAGGAAGAAACCGAAAAAGAGAAGGAGACAACCCCACCGAGTCCCGGAGAGATTATGGACGAATCCAAAGATGCGGGTAAATAAATACTTTTAGTACACTTATTCATATTTTTAGGGTTCCGAATGTGGCGGCGACATCTATATGCCCCACATTTAGACAACGGATGGAGGAAATCATTACTCACCATCCTCAAGAGATGGCGTTACCTGCACTGCGATCAATAATAGTATGGAAGCCTACATCGCGCAAATGAAATTCGGAAGCTAACTCTTCATATATACGATGCCCGACCAACATCAGTCGGGCCGCGGCCCCCGAGCTACCATCACCCAGCTCGGAGGAAGATCTTCCCCTTTGGCCTTCCTACACGTACCTAAAAGGAAAAAACGGAACCCTTATAGGATCACTTTGTTATCCGTCCGTCTGTCAAGACCGTTTTTCTCAAGAACGCGTGGAGGTATCAAACTGAAATTCATATCTAATATTCAGGTCTACTGTCCCTTGAGCTGTAAAAATCAAACTTCTAAGCCAAAGCAATCAAAAGATACAGCCGTTTATGCCGCAAATTTTCGAATTTCGCACGGGAATCAAAAACCTACAGGGTACTTCCCGTGAACTTAGAATCTTGAAATTTAAAATTGAGGTGAAATTGCGGAAACCGTACATTTGTAGTTACATCATATAATAGAAAATATTTTTGAAAATTTTAAAGTTGCTACCTCTTTTCTCATGCACGCGCGTAGAGGTAATAAATTGAGTTTGTGCGCGAGTCTGATTCACACTTGGCCAGTTTTTTTTTATAATAATAAAGGTTCTCAACCTAATTATTTTGCCCCCTATAGAAGCATCGGAACGTTCCGCGTCCCCCCTCTTCGGGGCGGCTAAAACGGAACGTAAACGTAACGTAGACGACCGTAGACAGAACGCTATGGCTGCCCTCAGGGCACAGAGAGACGCTAAAGCAACAAGAGTGGAACATATCAAACAGAAGAGGAGGTTGGAGGAGGAGAAGAACAAGGATAAGGATGAAGAAGACGTGAGTATGAATGTGTATCTCTCTGTGTGTGAAAAATAGAGAGGAGGTCTTAGTAGTACGGCGGGCTGTTTCCGCAACTCGACACCCAGTGTCTATTTTGCGTGGGGATTGGCATCAGTCCTACCATCCCAGCTCCTCCAGAAAGCTCAGCAGTCCTCGGATGTTGCTGCAGGCTTCTACTAGTGTCCGCAGGCTTCCCATTAGAGAAGTCCTTTGTCTTGCAACGCCTCTACACTCTAGCAGTACATGGGCGCTCGTCTCCTCCTCCTCCAGACAGGCCCTGCACAGAGGGCTGTCAGAAATACCTATATTATAAAGGTGTTTGATGAAGTAGCCGTGACACGTGAGTATACCCACGATTTGTTTCAGGGCTTGACTAGGTAGTCTGATTAACTTGCGTGATAGCTGCTGGTTTACCTTAGGAACGGCTTCCCTAGCTTGCCTGCAGTCAGTGTGTTTTGCCCAATATTCATCGTGTTGTCGTTGACAGCGCTCCCTTATCCAGGTTCTCTGCTGTCGATAAGGTATAGGTACAATTGGCTCCGGGCCAATGGCCGTAATGCTGGACCCCTCTCTAGCCAAGCAGTCAGCCGCATCGTTACCCCTTAAGCCGCTGTGTCCTTTAATCCATTGTAAGTTCAGTCTATTGTCATTACAAATATTGGATAACTTACAGTGGCATTCATAAATTAAGCCTGATGTAATTATATTGTTGTCCAGTGCCTATAGGACAGTAGCGCTGTCAGAGAGAATACGAATATGTTTTCCTCTTACCCCGCGGCAGTCTATCGCCTCTGCGGCTCATAGAGAGGAGGAACATTTTTTTAAACGTGTGTCTGTGTGAAAGATAGAGAGGAGGAACATTTTATTAAACGTGTGTCTGTGTGAAAGATAGGGAGGAGGATCATTTTATTGAACGTGTGTCTGTGTGAAAGATAGGGGGAGGATCATTTTATTGAACGTGTGTCTGTGTGAAAGATAGAGAGGAGGAACATTTTATTAAACGTGAGTCTGTGTGAAAGATAGAGAGGAGGAACATTTTATTAAACGTGAGTCTGTGTGAAAGATAGAGAGGAGGGACATTTAATTAAACGTGTGTCTGTGTGAAAGATAGAGAGGAGGGACATTTTATTAAACGTGTCTGTGTGAAAGATAGAGAGGAGGAACGTTTTATTCAAGTGTGTCTGTGTGAAAGATAGAGAGGAGGAACATTTTATTAAACATGTGTCTGTGTGAAAGATAGAGAGGAGGAACATTTTATTGAACATGTGTCTGTGTGAAAGATAGAGAGGAGGAACATTTTATTAAACATGTGTCTGTGTGAAAGATAGAGAGGAGGAACATTTTATTCAACGTGTGTCTGTGTGAAAGATAGAGAGGAGGAACATTTTATTCAAGTGTGTCTGTGTGAAAGATAGAGAGGAGGAACATTTTATTAAACGTGAGTCTGTGTGAAAGATAGAGAGGAGGAACATTTTATTAAACGTGTCTGTGTGAAAGATAGAGAGGAGGAACGTTTTATTCAAGTGTGTCTGTGTGAAAGATAGAGAGGAGGAACATTTTATTAAACGTGAGTCTGTGTGAAAGATAGAGAGGAGGAACATTTTATTAAACGTGTGTCTGTGTGAAAGATAGAGAGGAGGAACATTTTATTCAACGTGTGTCTGTGTGAAAGATAGAGAGGAGGAACATTTTATTCAAGTGTGTCTGTGTGAAAGATAGAGAGGAGGAACATTTTATTAAACGTGAGTCTGTGTGAAAGATAGAGAGGAGGAACATTTTATTAAACGTGTCTGTGTGAAAGATAGAGAGGAGGAACGTTTTATTCAAGTGTGTCTGTGTGAAAGATAGAGAGGAGGAACATTTTATTAAACGTGAGTCTGTGTGAAAGATAGAGAGGAGGAACATTTTATTAAACGTGTGTCTGTGTGAAAGATAGAGAGGAGGAACATTTTATTCAACGTGTGTCTGTGTGAAAGATAGAGAGGAGGAACATTTTATTAAACGTGAGTCTGTGTGAAAGATAGAGAGGAGGAATATTTTATTAAACGTGTGTCTGTGTGAAAGATAGAGAGGAGGAACATTTTATTAAACGTGTGTCTGTGTGAAAGATAGAGAGGAGGAACATTTTATTAAACGTGTGTCTGTGTGAAAGATAGGGAGGAGAAACATTTTATTGAACGTGTGTCTGTGTGAAAGATAGAGAGGAGGAACATTTTATTGAACGTGTGTCTGTGTGAAAGATAGAGAGGAGGAACATTTTATTAAACGTGTGTCTGTGTGAAAGATAGAGAGGAGGAACATTTTATTAAACGTGTGTCTGTGTGAAAGATAGAGAGGAGGAACATTTTATTAAACGTGTGTCTGTGTGAAAGATAGAGAGGAGGAACATTTTATTAAACGTGTGTCTGTGTGAAAGATAGAGAGGAGGAACATTTTATTAAATGTGTGTCTGTGTGAAAGATAGGGAGGAGAAACATTTTATTGAACGTGTGTCTGTGTGAAAGATAGAGAGGAGGAACATTTTATTGAACGTGTGTCTGTGTGAAAGATAGAGAGGAGGAACATTTTATTAAACGTGTGTCTGTGTGAAAGATAGAGAGGAGGAACATTTTATTAAACGTGTGTCTGTGTGAAAGATAGAGAGGAGGAACATTTTATTAAACGTGTGTCTGTGTGAAAGATAGGGAGGAGGATCATTTTATTGAACGTGTGTCTGTGTGAAAGATAGAGAGGAGGAACATTTTATTAAACGTGTGTCTGTGTGAAAGATAGGGAGGAGGAACATTTTATTGAACGTGTGTCTGTGTGAAAGATAGAGAGGAGGAACATTTTACTAAACGTGTGTCTGTGTGAAAGATAGAGAGGAGGAACATTTTATTAAACGTGTGTCTGTGTGAAAGATAGGGAGGAGGATCATTTTATTGAACGTGTGTCTGTGTGAAAGATAGAGAGGAGGAACATTTTATTAAACGTGTGTCTGTGTGAAAGATAGAGAGGAGGAACATTTTATTAAACGTGAGTCTGTGTGAAAGATAGAGAGGAGGAACATTTTATTAAACGTGTCTGTGTGAAAGATAGAGAGGAGGAACGTTTTATTCAAGTGTGTCTGTGTGAAAGATAGAGAGGAGGAACATTTTATTAAACGTGTGTCTGTGTGAAAGATAGAGAGGAGGAACATTTTATTCAACGTGTGTCTGTGTGAAAGATAGAGAGGAGGAACATTTTATTAAACGTGAGTCTGTGTGAAAGATAGAGAGGAGGAATATTTTATTAAACGTGTGTCTGTGTGAAAGATAGAGAGGAGGAACATTTTATTAAACGTGTGTCTGTGTGAAAGATAGGGAGGAGGAACATTTTATTAAACGTGAGTCTGTGTGAAAGATAGAGAGGAGGAATATTTTATTAAACGTGTGTCTGTGTGAAAGATAGAGAGGAGGAACATTTTATTCAACGTGTGTCTGTGTGAAAGATAGAGAGGAGGAACATTTTATTCAACGTGTGTCTGTGTGAAAGATAGAGAGGAGGAACATTTTATTAAACGTGTGTCTGTGTGAAAGATAGAGAGGAGGAACATTTTATTAAACGTGTGTCTGTGTGAAAGATAGAGAGGAGGAACATTTTATTCAACGTGTGTCTGTGTGAAAGATAGAGAGGAGGAACATTTTATTAAACGTGTGTCTGTGTGAAAGATAGGGAGGAGAAACATTTTATTGAACGTGTGTCTGTGTGAAAGATAGAGAGGAGGAACATTTTATTAAACGTGTGTCTGTGTGAAAGATTGTGAGGTGGAATATTTTATTAAACGTGTAACCGTGTGTGTGTGTGTGTGAAAGATAGAGTATAAAGATAGACATAGAGAGACATTTTATTAAGAACTTAACATTATAACATATTCAATGATGTTTTTTTTTATAGTTACTATTAAAATTTGTAATTGAATTATGGAAAGGTATGGTAATGTGTGAAAGTTAAAATACTAAAAAAAAATTGAGATTTTTTTGTATTTTATTTCTTTCTTGTCATTAAAGAAAGGATCGAAAATGCCGACGCAAGACATTCTGTCTCTGTCGCAAGTTACGTAGCACGTAGGGACAGGATGTGTCACGTCGTCATTTACGATTCCTTTCCTTAATTAAACGACTTTATACCACTTTTTTTTTTTATTTGGTAATAGGTAAGCGCTACAACATGATTATAATATCATGTTATATTATATTATAATCATGGTACTACATGATTCAATGAACGATATATATTTATCTACAATAATCAATCATTAATTGTTTTTAACTAAATTGTAATAAAATACTCAATCAAGTCAGGACCAAGTCTCATCGTAACGCTAGTAATGTAATAGTTAATTAACAATTAAGAATACATAATTATTATATGACAGGACGCAGATGCTGAGATAATTGGCGGGACAAGCAAACAAAGCGTTAAACTGAAGGCTTCAGACATTTACTCAGACGACTCGGGATCAGACTCGGAAGACAACAAATCACAAGGTATACCCACATAATTATATTTCATTACTTACTATGTTTGAAACGAGTTAGCATAAATATATTCCTCAAAAGTGGTATCGATTCTGACATGGTTCTCTTAACTTAACACTAAAAGACATGGTTCATAAGTGATAGTCGATTTCCGGCAGCGATGAAACATCAATCATTTGAAAGCTTTTTTTATTTTATTTTTTTAGGGTAATAACAGCAATCATTTTTACATAAAAAATTATAACATTAAGTTTAAACAATTGCATAGGTAATTTCCACTATTATTTATCTCACATAGTGTCTAATAAACATGAAAGAAAAAAGAAACAATTTTTGACATCATAGTGAACATAAACAAAACAAAAAGAAATAAAAATGTTGTGCCTAAAACGAGTTACAAATTAGTTTTTTGAATTTCAAAGAATTAAGATTAATTATATTATGTGACTATATTTACAGTTGTATGATTTCATAGCTTGCACAATGTAGCGATTACTAGCATAATTAGTCCGACCCGCCGGAATATATTATAACATGAATAGGTACATATTTGTTTCTTAGGTTTTCACACACATCACTCATTAAATAGAACTAGTTTGAGATTAAAGGCTATTGAGATTAAAAAATATCCAAATTTCAATAGGGAAGGTTGGTATATACCACCAGCTTGGGAACCTATTATACAGGAGATAAAATCCCAACCCCGAGCACACACTGCAAGACCATCAGATACTATTAGTTCTTTTTGTTTGCATAATTTAACATAAGAAGGAGATTGAAAGCCTCTCTTGAGTTTGTTTCGCCGGTTCTTCTCAGAAAGGTCTCCCAATTTTGGAACCGGTGGTGGTTTACGGTAGTTAGGGTCAAATAAATAAACTCAAAATTACAAAAAAGAATTTTAAATAAAATACTTTATGAAGTAAATTAAATAATAAATTCATACATAGACAATAAAACTTTAAAAAGCGAACAATGAAATAACCGAAAGCTCAATAAAAGTCTTTCGAAGGTAGCTTGACAAATTAAATAAGAGTTTGATTCTGACTATTGTAACGTGAATAAATAAATAAAGTTTCGAGCATTAACCCGTAAAAACTAGTTTTATTTAATGAATAGGTACTTTAAATTTATTTGTTTCTTAGGTTTTCACACACACCATTCATTAAATAAAAGAAGTTTCAACGGTAGAGATATAAATATAATCGAATTATCCCAACGCTCCATAAAAGTCTTTCGAAGGTAGCTCGACAAAGTATTTACTTTGTTAAAAAAACTAAAGTTCTTTTGTAATGAAATCTACTATTCATTATTTTTTTTAATTTTAAATATAATTTCACTTTAAACACAAATTTTCTTTTCCCAGGAAGAAAAAGTGCGTCGTCTTCTTCCTCATCAGAGGGAGAAGAGGAAGAGAAGAAGAGGGAAGAAGTTGAAGTAAAATATGCAGACTCTAGGGATCAAATTAACAAACTGAGACTTAGCAGGTACATAGCATTAAATTTATTATATACTTACGGGTGAAAGGACAATGGGCAAAACGCACCCAGCTCCGCCAACAATGTAATTAGTATGGATCGATAGATCTGTGAAAAACTAGCTTTTTTTATTATGGCACCAAAAAAAATATCCTGGGAGTCAAAAGATATACACGTGGGCATCTTCTATGTTAGGGGTTAAGGTTTCCGCACATAGTCCTTAAAGAGGACCATTGTGTGTAAGTCATAGGGACCGGTTACACACGGGCATATTTTAATATCTAAAGAAATTCATTCAATATCAATAGTACTTTCGTTTTATAATATTAACCATAATAATATGAGTCATATCTTACTATACAACTAGATACAAAATACTATACAACAAAGCCTACCGACCATCCTGCTTGCTTGCTGCTTGCACTTACTGAAACGCCTCAAAACGTTTAACAGGGTATAGGGGTTGCCGGATGTGATATTGCAGTTGCCGTTGCAACTAGTCTACTCATATGCAGTTCTATGTCTTACTTTTTGTGCGCTCCCTGTTATTTCATTGATATTTAACTAACCCGCTTTAGAAATAGGAACACGATTATCGTTGCGTGCGTCATTATAATCGTACGAGCCAATACAAAATCTATGGATCAATTTAAATGCTCGTTCTTTTACTTGACATTGGCTGAATGAAAAAACCGTGCTTGCCACAAAAATAAAGAAAGTGCTCGTTCGATTGCTTCGCGCCAAAAAATTCATACGAAAAACCCCACGTCATACTGGCGCCAACTAATGACGTGCATTTTTCTAAACACTCATTGGTTTTGATAAACTGGAATCATGTTTTCTCCGAAGAATCGACAAGTTTGTGTGATTTGTGGACGCTCCGTTTTACGTAGAAGACGATTAACTATAACGAACAGACTACTTATTTCAAAACAACCCAACCGCAAGATACATTATTAATAACATTGTACCAAACTAAGTACGAGGACATAACATCACATTATCATTATACTTAATAAAGTTCTTTATATTTTATTTTATCTAGTATACTTTTTTAATATTATTTAGCGTGTAATAGACTAAGTAACCTAAGACAGTCGTTTACTTCAATCATTATAGTAAGGATGCTTATTGAGCTAAAAGTCTAAAGTGTGTATTGTGTAGAACAAGGCCTTAAGCAACCAAAAAACTGAACTTCCAACTAAGTAGGTAGTTGGATTTTCTCTTCTAAGATAGCTATTTAAACAGTGTAAGCTTAAATTAACGCTACTCGATTAAAAATACTAATTCCCGAAAACGTCGAAATTACTTGACTCTGGTTGGTTTACCTTATTGTCCATACAATGACATACTATGGATGAAGATAATTAAAAATATTCGAAATGAAATAATGTTTCATAATTAATCCCCCTTTTTTTACACTTACCAATTAGCCTAGCCCCGGAGTAAGCACTGTAAGGCGTGTGTTATGGGATGCTAGGGTAACGGATAGAATACATATGTAGTACATTTATAAGTATATTGATATAGAAATACAAATTAAACATCTATGACTGGAGTACAAATGCTCGTACTCAGCACACAAACATCTGCCCCCAACAGGATTCGAACCCGGGACCTCTCGAGTCGACGACACCATGAAACCCGGCGTACAAACCACTCGACCACGGAGGTCGTCAATTAATATATCCGTCCTATATAATCGTCCTTGTATCTTTAAATATTATGTTCGTTATAGTTACTTTTACCTATGGAATTGTACCTATTTAACTTAAAATAACTAAAGACCCCCGGGATGGAATTTGATGCGCTTTGGCCCAGATGATCATGACTATAATACCTTTCAAACAAATGTAGTTAAAGCCGTGGCGGACGTGGGTGCAGTGTCCATGCAATTTTGCCCATTGTCCTTTAACAATAATATAGGCTATAACTATATGATCATGAATTTTCGAAATCAGTTCTGTCGTATGATTTCGATCGTTGACATTTTGTTATTTCATGAACTGAAACTGACATTTTTCCGACACCTTTTTGGCTAAATATCGCAATAATCTTTATATATATAATTCTTCTGTGAGTGTGTATGTCACTGAACTTCTATTAAACGACTGGACCGATTTTGATGAAATTTTTTGTGTGTGTTCAAGGGGATCTGAGAATGGTTTAGATTCACAATTTTGTCCGCTGGACAACCCCTATTTTTTTAGGGCGGTACGAAGTTCGCTGGATCAGCTAGTCTATATATATAAAATTTCTATATGTATAAAAATCAATTGTAGTTCGTTAGTCTCGCTAAAACTCGAGAATGGCTGAACAGATTTATCTTGTCCTTGGTCTTGAAATGTTCGTGGAGGTCTAGGGAAGGTTTAAAAGGTGAGACAAATTCGAATAATTGCCGGGAAAACCCTAAAAACAAACCAAATTTATAGCTTTTTTTCTCAAATACAGTGAAATACATTATTATGTATAATATTTTTGTTGTCAGGTTCAAATTAGAAAGGTTAGTGCACCTGCCTTTCTTCGCGCGTGTGGTTACAGGGTGTTTCGTCAGGATCGGTATTGGGAACAACAACGGCAATCCCGTATACAGGGTGAGTCATTTTGTATTGTGATTTGTGAGCAACGAATCAGAAATTATATGGAAGCATTACTCTCTGACAAAGACTGCTAAAACATGGTTCCAAAGAAGCTATCAAAGTCCTAACTTTAATATTATAAGTAAGCACAGTTTCTGTATCAGCCACGCCTGGGTTAAATATTAGGAACTTTATCAGCTTATGTTTTTATTTTATTTTTAAGCATTTAACTGCTAGATGTTTATTAATACTAAAAAAAGTTTACTAGAAAAAAATCCACGCGGACCAGGCAGCGGACGGCACTCGAACCCATACATAACTATAATTGCTATTTCTTCTTTCAAATGTTTAATACTTGAAAAAGTATTCATTTGACATTGTGGGTTACCTACAATGCAAAGAGATGGCGCTGCCTTGCAGCTTAAGGCTAGGAAAATTTCGACGCGGCCAATAGGGCCGTGGTAGCATAACTTTATCAGCTTTTTTTAAAATATGTTATACTGTTCTGGATACCTTTATAATACCTTATATATATCTATTATATGCCTTTTAAGTCAAACTCTACCACTAAAAGCCGGTTATGAGCACAATGCCTAAAATGCAAGATGCCATTGCTGCAAAAATGCCTCACGCACCAATAGATTTAAGAAGCAGATTGCCTGCCCAAGAATGCCTAGACGTGAATGTGACATGAATGCGTAGAGTTCGTTTTGAAACTCTTGTTATAAAGGGCTGTTGTAATTCGATACTAGCACTTGAAAATCTTAAGAGTCTATTTTGTCCTTAGGCTCAGTTTTTAGTTAAAAAACATTTATAATTTTTATTATTTTAAAGCATGTAACTGCTTGATGTTTAAATCGAAAAGAAATTATAACTATAATTGCTATTTCTTCTTTCAAATGTTTAATACTTATAAAAGTATTCATTTGACATTGTGGGTTACCTATGATGCGAAGAGATGGCGCTGCCTTGCAGTTTTAAGAATGGCTAGAAGAATTTCGACGCGGTCCGTGAGGGCCGCGGTAGCATAATTAGTCAGTGCATTCGCCCGGATTGCGAAGGGTGCGTGTTCGAGTCCCGTCTGCTGCATGGTCCGCGTGGAATTTTTCAATTAATTAGTTAATTAGTATTTAAAGATTTCAAATTGACGGTTGACAGCAAACATTACAGTCACGATACATTGTAGGCAATCTGCTTCTTTTTCAATAGGGTATTTGACAGTATTAAATATAGTGAAAATTGTTAGCATCTGTGTTTAGATTGAATATTGGCAGAGGTTTTTTTTTAATAAACAAATATTATAATAAAATATTCATAATTTTACTAAAACCCTCGAAAAAGATAATAGTTTTCTGTCACGTGACCCAATACGCTAATGACGTCACACGCAAGTAAACTTCCGGTTAAAGCGACATTACATTGTATCGTTTGACGTTTTAATAACAGTCGTGTGACGTCACACCCTAGTAAGACGACATATTGTCCAGAGAAACGTTTTCGCGGCAACTTGAACATGGAGTTTTTGATTTGGTTATTTTTACTGAAATACACGACAGAATGATGAATATCCACTTTTTACGGACTCCATAAACATTAGTCAATAATGTGAGATCGTTGCCTAAAACTTGTCAAATACCCTATTAGCGTTTTGGGTATTATAGGAGTATTGCCATCTTTTATTCTAGGCAGTCTGCTTTTAAGTCAAAATTACGTGTTAGGCATTATTGCAGCAGTGGCATCTTGCATTTTAGGCACTATGTTCATAACTGCTAAAAAAGCCCTAAGTTTAAGGTTACAAGCAATAGTATGTATATGTAATAATCAAAAGTGTGTATATGTCTTAATCTCATTTAATTTAATACATTTTATGTTAATGTAATTATTAAAATTTTGATTTTTTTATGTAGGTATGGTTACTATGTACTTGTATAAGCATGCTGTTTGCGCATTTGGAGTTCAGTATTTTTTTAACAATTGTTTTTCTTAGTGTCTTTTACCATTTTGCTTGCTATACCCTTAGATTAAAACAAAAAGGGTAGATACGGTACGCTCATACTTGCATAAAACAAAAACTGATCCCACGGCAGCGCGAACGGGACGGCGAGATCCGCGTCACTGCATTACCGACCCGAACGAAACAGCACGTTAAGTTTCAACGGCAGCGCGATCTCGTCACGATCTCGTCGTGATTGGTCCAATCACGCGACCAGTACTCGACGTGACTACCGAATAAGATTCAAATCAAACAGCAATTATAATGAAAAAATATATATTATAGTACTTACGAATGAAAAGTGATGCCGTGGGTTATATTTTTAGTTCTTGAGCAATTTGAGTACTTTTTAAAAACACACTTAGGCATTGTTTTATCATATAAACACAAAATATTAGCAATGTTTCTTTTTGGCGTTCACATGTACGTCGTTTGCATGTCAAGTTATGACTAAAGCGATTAGGGTCGTGGACCACAATTCATGCGGATCACTTTTGTGAGGCTATTGCCGTATCTACCCTTTTTGTTTTAATCTAAGGCTATACCTCTGTATTGTGCAATAAATAAAAAAAATATTGTGTACAGGTAGCGGAAATAATAGACGTATATGAGACAGCTAAGATATACAATTTGGGCAACACAAGGACAAACAAAGGACTGAAACTAAGACACGGCACACAGGACAGAGTATTTAGATTGGAATTCGTCAGTAATCAGGTTAGTTTACTTTATGAATTAATCATCAACATCAGCCTATTAATGTCCCCACTGATGGGGCACAGAGCTTCCCTATGGATGGAATAGGGAGATTGCGCCGTGTCCCACCACGCGGGCCCAGTGCGGTTCCATTGGTGGGTGCTAACGACTGCTGCCTTTGAATAGCTAGACCAGTGATTCCCAAAGTGGTCTATATCGACCCCTAGGGGTCTATGACAACCTGCAAGGGGTCTACGGCAGCGAAAAAAAATCAATATCAGGTAAGTCCCCTACTTACCTGATATTGATTTTTTTCTACCCAATACGGAAAAACATGGCAAGGGGTCTACGACACAAAAAAGTTTGGGGAACTCTGAGCTAGACTAATTCATTGTCCGAGGTAGCTGCCAGCTCTTCGGTCTCCTATCCTAACTGTATGTCATTTTTTAACTGAAGTCCAATGTTCATTATGTATTTTTTGCCCTACAGGAGTTCACAGACAGCGAGTTTCAGAAATGGCACAAGGCGATAAGGGACGCTAACAAGAGACCACCCACCATGGATTATGTTAGAAGTAAAATATCAGAAGTCAGAGACGCTTTAATGTATGAATTTAAGGTAAGCTGATAGATAAATTCTTTATTGCACACTCACAAAAGACTACAAAAAAAGTAAAAATTAACATAAAGCGGGAGATGTTGATCAAAATCTGTTAAACGGTTTAAGCATGAAGAGGTAACAGACGAAAAGACACACTTTATATTATACTAGCGGTCCGCCCTCGCTTCGCTTCGGTGTAGAGCTGAAGTGTAGACTACAGTTTTTGTTCTCAGGCTTGTATTATACACAATGACATTCATCTATGATTCTTCTTATACCTGCATGCAAAGTCTCAGCCCGATCGGTTTAAAATTGACAAAGTTTCATACAAACTTTCATTCCCTATTTTATCCCCTTGGGGGTAGAATTGATCAAAATCCTTTCTTACCGGATGCCTACGTCATAACATCTACCTGCATGCCAAATTAAAGCCCGATCCGTCCAGTGGTTTGGGCTGTGAGTTGATAAATCACTATCTCAGTCAGTCAGTCACCTTTGAGTTTTATATATATATAAAACTCAAAGGTGACTGACTGACTATATATATATATATATTATAGTAGAAATGTCTCCCTAGAACAGTGGCTTTTAACCTTTCAGTGACAAAAAAAAATGTCTTGCCCCGGACCACCACTTACGATTTAGAATATATTATTACATTTTTCCTAACAGGAAGAAGATATAGAGAAAATAGTAGCGGAGAAGGAGAGATTCCGATCACACCCCACCAATTACGCGATGAAGAAGACACAGCTCATGAAAGAGAGGGACGTAGCGCAGCTCAGGTGAGTGAGCGGGACAGAAATCAAATCTTTATATATATAATTCTTCTGTGAGTGTGTATGTCACTGAACTTCTCTTAAACGACTGGACCGATTTTGATGAAATTTTTTGTGTGTGTTCAAGGGGATCTGAGAATGGTTTAGATTCACAATTTTGTCCGCTGGACAACTCCTATTTTTTTAGGGCGGTACGAAGTTCGCTGGGTCAGCTAGTAATAAATAAAATAGTTTATTTCGTTAACCTTAATTTACAATATTATTCTGTGGCCAGAACTACACAGAAATAGACGAGTAATTATAATTGTTTGTGTGGCTCTAACCATTATATCGATGAGGAGGAGAAATGGCGCGGGTGGTTAGCTCAATAATATGTATTAGTAAAGATAGCGAGATTGCTACCTTAAAAAGTTTTAAATAAAACAAGTTTCAACGGGTTAGATGCACTGATTTTATTGACGTTTCGCATCCTTTGCAGGAATGCGTCGTCGGAAGATTGCTACCTTAAAAAGTTTTAAATAAAACAAGTTTCAACGGGTTAGATGCACTGATTTTATTGACGTTTCGCATCCTTTGCAGGAATGCGTCGTCGGAAGATTGCTACCTTAAAAAGTTTTAAATAAAACAAGTTTCAACGGGTTAGATGCACTGATTTTATTGACGTTTCGCATCCTTTGCAGGAATGCGTCGTCGGAAGATTGCTACCTTAAAAAGTTTTAAATAAAACAAGTTTCAACGGGTTAGATGCACTGATTTTATTGACGTTTCGCATCCTTTGCAGGAATGCGTCGTCGGAAGATTGCTACCTTAAAAAGTTTTAAATAAAACAAGTTTCAACGGGTTAGATGCACTGATTTTATTGACGTTTCGCATCCTTTGCAGGAATGCGTCGTCGGAATAATGATAAGGAAAAAAATACATTATTCCGACGATGCATTCCTGCAAAGGCTGCGAAAATTCTCGTGTCGCGGTGTTTGTGGTTAAACTCCCCCGAAACGGCTCGACCGATTCTCATGAAATTTTGTGTGCATATTGGGTAGGTCTGAGAATCGGACAACATCTATTTTTCATCCCCCTGAATGTTAAGGGTAATCCACCCCTAAATTTTTTTTTCAATTTTAGACAAAAATTTATTTTTTTATTTTTTTATGATACATCATTCAAAAATACATACAACCCTAAATTTTCACCCCTCTACCACCAACCCCTATTTTTTTTATGGCGGTACGAAGGTCGCTGGGTCTGCTAGTAAATAAATAAAATCAGTGCATCTTACCCGTTGCAGCTTGTTTTATTTAATGAGTGATGTACGTGAAAACCTAAGAAACAAATATTAAAAATATAACTAGAAAATATTCGACCGCACCCTTCGCTATCCGGGTAAATGCACTGAGCAATTATGCTACCGCGGCCCTGACGGCTTCGTCGAAATTCTTCTAGCCATTCTTAAGCTGCAAGGCAGCGTCATTTCTTCACATCGTAGGTAACCCACAATGTGGTTTTATTTCTAGTTATATTTTCTTTAGATTTAAACATCAAACAGTTACATGCTTAAAAAATAAACATTATTTATAAATATTGAAAAGTTTAATATATTTTTTTTTATTGTAGAGGTGACGAGGAACTAGTAATGGACTTAAACGCAAAGATACAAGAGTTGGAGGAACGCGCGAATCATTTGGACAAAACCAGAACGTCGTCCATACAGAGTATATCGTACATCAATAACAGGAACCGGAAACTGAATGTGGAGACCGCCGAGAAGGCCATTATGGAAGAGGTCCGTTAATTTTTAAATAGGGGTGATGACGGGGTACAGTAAACGAAATTCTATTGAGTCCGTCAGTTAGATGATCAAAAAATTATGGACACGTATTTTTTTGAGCAATCAACCAAAAGATGACAAAAGTTATAGCGCGGCAAAGTTTGGGAGTACTGGCTCGTGACGTCACTTTTGAGTGATTTTTTACATATAAGTGTACCAAAACGTGACGTCATGCGACTTTTCAAATCAATATATCGCTGCAATGTTTATATTATGTGAAAAAAGAAAAAAAACGTGTCCAATACTTTTTGATAATCTACCTGATAAACGAAGAAAAAAAATTAGTCATCATCCCTAATTATAACTATTATTGCTAGATTTAAAACATCGAACAGTTTTGTTTTTCATTTATTGATTTACCAACATTTGTATACCTACACTGAAAATAGTAACGCAAACATTTTGAGTTGTTTAAAGTTCAAGTGTAACAAATACTTATAGGTAAATACATCATGCAATTAAACAACGTACAATCTAAAAATCAGCTTAATCTAAAACCAAACACTACAATATTTTTAGGTACTGTTTTGTGGCAAAGAAAAAAAAAGAGGAGCTCGATGGCGCAAGTGGTTAGCGCGTTTCGCTGCGATCGTTGAAGTTAAGCAACTTTCGCAGTGGTCGGTTATTGGATGGGTGACCAAAAATTTTCTATCTCGAGTTCCTCCGTGCTTCGGAAGGCACGTTAAGCCGTTGGCCCCGGCTGCATCTGCAGTCGTTATCACCCACCAATCCGCACTGGGCCCGCGTGGTGGTTCATGGCCCAATCTTCCTATTCCATCCATAGGGAAGGCTTGTGCCCCAGCAGTGGGGACATTAATAGGCTGATGGCATTATATAAACTAGACTTAAGCTTGTCAGGTGAGTCCCAGAAAATATCAAGCTGAACAATTTTTTTTTGTGTATTCATTTACCAGCTTGCGTAGTCTTGAAATAGGGGAGTTGGATCCGAATACCGTTCTGCGACGAGGTGCTTTAAGAGGGTCTATCCTACTTCGGGGGTATCTTGAAGGAACATTAAAATTGATTTTATCCATAATTTTAGGGCCATCAATTTAACAGTTAAAAATTAATGTTTTTTTCATTGATCCAGGTAAAAGCAAATAAAGGCAAGAAAGCCGATGATCCCTTCACAAGGCGGCACACCAAACCGGTCATGAACTTCAACAAGGCACAGGGGAACAGAAGTCAGGTAAGTCAGTTTTTTTAAATCTTGATATAGTAGACCTTTTTAACAGACTACAAAAAAAAAATAGGATTGAAAACATTTAATTTATAGCTTATTCTGTTTGCACTACAAAATAAAGCATATCGGCCGAAAATGTCGCGCGTTTATTTATTTATTAACTCTTATCAGGGTATTTGCAAGTTTTAGGCAACGATCTCACGTTATTGACTAATGTTTGTGGAGTCCATAAAAAGTGGATATTCATCATTCTGTCGTGTATTTCAGTAAAAATAACCAAATCAAAAACTCCATTTTCAAGTTGCCGCGAAAACGTTTCTCTGGACAAGATGGCGTCTTCACACTAGGTGTGACGTCACTCGACTGTTATTAAAACGTCAAACGATACAATGTAATGTCACTTTAAACGGAAGTTTACTTGCGTGTGACGTCATTTTAGGCTCCGCCAATCCCTAGCGTTTTGGGTCACGTGACAATAGATAAGAAAACTAATTACTTTTTCGAGGGTTTTTAGTAATGTTATGAATTTTTTTTTTGTATAAATAGTAAAAACCCCTGCCAATATTCAATCTAAACACAGATGCTAACAATTGGCACTCTATTTTTAATACTGTCAAATACCTTATTAGCGAGAAATCGGCTTATCATTAAAAAACATGAAAACTTATTCGTATAAGTTATCCTTTGTCAGTTTGATCTGTATTACGCACGTTTATATTCATGTGTTCGTCCGCGATTATCTCAAAAATACCTTGTACTGATAAGAACCGCCAACAAACTCAGCAAGGGCTGTTTTTTCTCCCTGTATTATATACAGAGTCGTCAAGTTGAAAAATGGACTTCTGAGATACTACTGAAATCACCTTTCATAAATAAAAATAAAATAAAAAAGCTTTTTATTCCATATCCATTGGTTACTTCTACATTTTATTTATGTTAGTTTGTTAGTAAACCTAAGTATTATGTTGGTTTTTAGTATTTGTTAGTACAGTTTCAGACATGGATCCCATCTGGGTAAAAGCCTCCTCCATTGCTTTCCACTTTTCTCTATCTTTCCCCGCCTTCAGCCAGTCCCTGCCTGCCACAGACACAATATCGTCGGACCATCGTTTTCTGGGTCTGCCTACTTTTCTTTTGCCTTTTGGTCCGGACCATCCAGTGGACTTGAGGGACCACCTTTTGTCAGTATATCTTGACAGATGGCCCGCCCATTTCCATTTAAGTTTAAGGGCCTGTTCCAGAGCATCTGTTAGTCCAGTTTTGCTCCTTATGTCTGTACACCTTATTTTGTCTATTCTCCTTAATTTTAGCATGCTTCTTTCTATTGCTCTCTGGCATGTAGTAATTTTGTTTTTTATTTTATTTGTATAAACCCAAGTTTGACATCCGTACAGTAGGCTTGGTAATAGGCATGTGTCTACTACTGTCTTTTTTAGTGATATATCAAGATTGCCTTTTAGGATTTCTTTGTGTGCCCAATATTTCTTCCATGTAGAATTTATTCTTCTATCCACTTCTTCTTCGTTACTGTTTGCTCTGAATGATACCTGTTTTCCTAAATATATATATTCATTTACATATTCTATATCTTTTTCTTCAATTGTTATTGGTTTATTTTCTGCATTAGTCATTATTTTCGTTTTGCTAGGATTCATGTGTAATCCCACTATTTTACTCTGTGTGTCCAGTGATTTTAACATATTTTCTATTTCTGGAGCTGTTTCTGCAAACAAGGCAATATCGTCGGCAAATCTTAGATGACTTAGGTGTTGATTTTGTATTATTATACCTTTATTCTTCCATTCTATAGATTGGAATATATTTTCTAGGACAGCGATGAACAACTTAGGTGACAGCGGATCTCCCTGTCTAACACCTCTTTCTATTTTGATTTCTTTCCCATAGTTTTCTAATCGCAGTCTGCTTACACTGTTACAGTATATGTTTTTTAAAATATTTATGTATTTATTATTTATTTTACATGTGTTGAGTGCTTTCCATATTGAACTGTGTGTAATGCTGTCGAAGGCCTTTGTATAATCTACAAAGGCTATATATAATGGTCTGTTGTATTCTTTATACTTTTCCATGATTTGTTCTATTGTGTGAATATGATCTATTGTTGAGAAATTTGAACGAAATCAAGCTTGTTCGGGTGGTTGGTGGTTATCTATATTAGCAGCTATTCTTGCAGTTAGTATGGATGTGAATAGTTTGTAGGTGCTTGATAGTAGACTTATTGGTCGATAGTTCGAAATATCTGTGGGATCGCCTTTTTTATAAAGTAGTATGATGTCTGAGTGAAGCCATTGTTTTGGTACTATCTCATATTCTAGAATTAAATTAAACAGGTCTGTTAAGAAGGTGATTATGATTGGTGCACCGAGTTTTATTGCTTCATTACTAATGCCGTCTGGGCCTGGGGTCTTCTCTGATTTTAGTTTCTTTATATGGGTTAGTACCTCTGTTTCTGTTATGGGATCTATTGTGAGATTTTCTCTTTCTGTTGGGTGTTCAATTTCTACATTTCCTATGTCTTCTTTTGTTTTCCTATATAATTTTGTATAAAATTCAGTAGCGCAGTCCATAATGTCATTTCGGGATTTTGTTTCTTTTTTCCCTTTTTTTAGTTTTTGAATCCATTTTTCATGTGTTTTAAGGTCTTTGTACGCTCGTTTTAAGCTTCGAAATTTTGTTAGTTTTTCTTGGATTATCCTCTGTCTGTAGTTTTTGTAGTCCTCTTTAATCGATTTGTTTGTCTTTTTGAATAGATCTTTTAGTTCTTTTTGTTTTTTGCTCTTATTTTTGGTTTTTATTAGTTCTGTGCGTTTGGTTATTAAATTTATTGTTTTCTCACTCATTATTTTGTGTTTATTATTTTTGTGATTTCCTTTTTCCATTTTCAGGCTCGTTGTTATGATTTCTGCTAGTTTGTTAGAGTATGTTTCGACTTCTTTAGAGTGTTGTAATATTTCTAGGTTCATTTGTATGTTTGCTTTTAGATTGTTAAGGTATGTTGTTATTTCTTCGTCGGTTTTCGGTATTCTCGGTATGGGTTTAAATGACTTTCTACTTAGTTTGTTTGGTTTTACTTGGAAAGAAGCTCTTACTGGTCTATGGTCAGATGCAAAGTGTATTTGGTTTAGGACTTCAACATTTGTGATTCTTTTAGGTTTGTTACACATTACAAAATCTATTTCATTTTTAGTTCGTGTATCTGGTGATTGCCACGTCCATTTCCGACTCTGTTTCTTTTTGAAAAATGTATTCATTATAGAAAGTTTATTTTCATTGGCATATTCAATTAATTTTTCACCTCTTTCGTTTCGACTTCCGTATCCATATTTTCCCATTATAAGATCTTCATGGGCTTTTGTGTGTCCTATTTTTGCATTAAAATCGCCCATTACCAGTGTGGTTTTTTCTGACATATCGTTTGCTGTTTTTAAGTCGTTATAGAACTGACAAATTTCTTCGTCTGTTGATCTTTCTGTCGGGGCGTACACCTGGATCAGTGTTATAGCCTCGTCTCCAAGTTTAAGTTGCAATACAGCCACTCTTTCCGATATGCCTATGAAGTTTGCTATGTTTAGTTTAAATTTTTTCTTTATTAGAAAACCGACCCCATATAGACCTTCTGTTTCTCCTATGTAGAGTAAAATGTAATCCTTGTACTCTTCAATACTACATCCCATTCTCCTTACCTCTGCAAGTCCTAAAATGTCGCAATCTATTTTTTTCATGGCGTGTGTTAATTCAAGAAATCTTTCTTCTGATGAGAGTGTTCTTACATTGTAGGTACATATCTTTATTAGTTCTTGTTTTTGTTTTTTGTTTTTATATTCTTTGTTTTCCTGTTCTTTGTTTTCATGTTCTTTGTGTGGAGGGTAATGGTCTAATTCCCCACGGTGACCAACCGGATTGGGGAATATTGTTGTGTTTTTATTATGATTTATTTTTGTACTAATCTTATCTATTGTATTTTTTCGGCAACTATTGTTTTCTAGTTTTTTGAATTTGCTATATTCTTTACTGTTTGATTGGGATTAATTTTGGAGAATTTAGTGGGTTGTTTTACAATGTCTTCTTCTTGTACTTTGCTGAAGCTATTGGGGGGTGTAGAGGGTGGCGAAGATGATGCTCTCTTGCGTTTTTCCGATTCTTGCTGGTCTTTAATTATAAGTTTTCCATGCTTTATGTAGGCATATTTTCCTGATACTCTTGCTTCCTTAAGTTTCGCATATAAAGATTTCCTTAGATTCATTTCCTCTTTAGTGAGGTCCTCTGTTATGTAGATGCCCTTGGGAAGGTGTTTTTTGTTTGTAAGTATTTCATTTCTACGCCATACTAGAGTAAATACTATCTTTATTGGTCTATTTTTGTTTTGAACCTTTTTCCCAATTCTGTGCAATTTGCTTATCTCCCACTTGTCCCATTCATGGGTTGCATTTTGGCTTTTGTTTAAGTCGTTTAGTAATTCCAGCACTTGTTTCATGAGTTCCGTATTGTTGGTTTCGTTTTCTTCTACTCCGTGCAAAATTAAGTTTGTTTTTCTAGCTTCAATGTCTAAAATTTTCACTTTAGATCTCAGAGTTGCAACTTCTTCTTTCAACACTTCATTTTCCTTCCTTATATGCGATAATTGTTCCTCAATAGTTTTGCTAATAGTTTCCTTAATGATTTGTGTTTGTTTTTCTTGTTGTTTTTCCATTTCTTCTTTCATTTTAGCCCATAACAATTGCATTTGTTTATCCATCTTGATATTATATGTTCGGTTTGATTGAATGTTTAAACCGATAAATAGTTGTTTTATTGTTGGTAACACCAATTGCCCACGTACGCGAAGTTTGTAAAGCTCATGATCTGCGGTTGGACGGACCGACCTTCCGACCAAGTCGGAACGTGTGTGGTGTGCCTTCGTCTCTAAGTAGTCTGTCACGCAAGTTGTTTTGTCTATGATAACATGTAATAACCTCAAAATTTTGCTTCGGGTTTTTGGTTGTTTTTAAATTGTTTACACTTGTCTCACTTATCTGATTGCTGAGATGTTGCACACATTTGTTTTTTTTTTCCACAATAACTTCACCAAAGCATTCGATCGATCACTTTAGCACCAAAATTGAATTTAAAATAGCGGAGGAGCAATTTCGCGATGCTTACACTTTGAGGGTTGCCAGCCGAAAAAAATCACCTTTCATAATTTATAATAATTACAATAAATAATAAAATCGACTAATAGAAACTGATATAAGACGAATAATCATGAAATTGAAAAGTATTTTTTGATCTATTCTCACGTGACCGAAAACGCCTAGGATTGGCGGAGCCTAAAATGACGTCACCTGCTTGTAAACATGCTGACGGAAAGGTATTACCTCGAACTGTTGGACGTTTTCATGAGTCTTACAGGAACCAACAAATTTTCCGCGATGAAATGTATCCCTATGTCTCAATCCATGCAATAAAGAATTGTGCCGAATTTCATCATAATCTGTGGGGTACAGATTATGATGAAATAGCACGAATCAATATCAAATTCGAATAGTTTGCGAGTCCGAAATGTCATTGTCAAATAATAAGTAAATATATAAATACACTCCCGGACTCTTGAATCGAGCCACCTTACATTCCCGGGCCTAAAAACCCAATACACAAAAAATATACAATATAACAAAACAGTTTTTATGCATATTTAATGCATATTTCATCGTCTTTCCCGTATGTATTATTCCAAATTTGAATTTAGAATTTAAAATAAAGAACAAAAGCCGAGCTTGGTCACTGATTTGAAAAAAATAATGACTGTTGAAAGTTGCTTTTGAAGCAATTTAATGTCGATTTGGTTTGAATTTTCGCAATTGTTGTAAACCAAAGTTTAGTTTATTTTTCTATAATTTGAACCGTTTTTGGTTATAAAATTATGGATACTGCACCTGAAGTGGCCGCGCAAGCTGTAGCACGTCTTCAATCTGGGCTAAGTCGGCGAGATGTGAGTTCACAACTTCACATAAGTCGTTCCGCTGTTCAAAGAGTGTACCACCGATGCCTGGGGGCCAATCGCCTAACGGAAATGCTTTGGGAAACGCTAACGCTTACGATTTTATATTGTTATTTCTAGCCGCGTGAGGTTTTCGAATACCTCACGCTCATTTTTTTTAATATTGTTATTACCAATGCAAAAGATAAAGAAAGAGCGCGAGGCATTTGAATACCTCAGGCGGCTAGAAATAACAAAATAAAATCGTAAGCGTTAGCGTTTTCCAAAGCATTTCCGTTAGGCGATTGGCTCCCTGGAGACTGGCGGCTTCGTTCGGCGAACAGGAGGACCTCGTTACCGAGTGACAACGGCGAGACAAGATCAATACATTGTCGCTACTAGCTTACGAAATCGACGCCTTAACTATGTTCAGATACAAGAACAGCTCAGGGACTTTCACGGAGTGGCTGTAAGTGCTCGGACCGTTAGAAGGAGACTCAATGAACGTGGTTTAAAGCCCCATAAGCCAGCCAATGGACCCAAATTGCCCGAGCACACCGAATAGCCCGTCTAGAGTTTGCGCGCGAACATCTAAATTGGACTCGACGTCAATGGAGCCAGGTTCTCTTCACAGATGAGTCCAAGATAATGCTATACGGTAATGACGGAAGGAGTAAGGTGTACCGAAGACAGAACGAGCGTTTCGCGCAATGCTGTATTGACGAGAAAGTGAGTTATGGTGGAGGATCATGGACAGACTGGGGAGGAATCTCTATGGAAGGCAAAACTGAGCTAGAGGTAGTGACGGGACCACGACTGCCGCCCCTAGATGGCAAAAGATATATTCGCCAATGTTTAGAGAACCACGTGATGCCATATGCTGGATTTATTGGCCAAGATTTCATTTTAATGCATGATAATGCTAGGGCCCATACTGCGGGAATCGTCAGGGAGTACTTAAATGACATTGGTATCACTGTTATGAGATGGCCAGCGCGAAGTCCTGATATGAATCCTATAGAGCAGCTATGGGATGAGCTGAAGAGGCGTGTTCGAGCTCATCATCCTGCCCCGCAAACCATGCAGGAGCTCAAAAATGTAATTTTGGAAGAATGGGAGGACATTCCTCAACATGTCATAACGACATTGATTAATTCTATGCCAAACCGTATGAGAGCTGTCATAAATGCACTGGGAGGCAATACAAGTTACTAAATAAACATTTCTTTTCATGTAAAACATGTCTTTATTAAAAAATCGATTAGATTTTTTTCCTTGAAAAAAGCAAATATGGACTTGTTTCAACGTAACTCGACTTTTTTAATAAACTGTAGTTCAAATTTAGAACAGTGGCAATCTAAATGAATGATGAGTATACTAGCTCCAAAACTGCATCAAAACATTTTCCTTCTACATACATCTTTTATAAGTTACAGTACTCCAAACCAAAAAAATCAAGGTGGCTCGATTTAAGTGTCCGGGAGTGTATAAGTCAATATATATTTCGCACTCGCAAACTATTCGAATTCGATAATGGTTCGTGCTAGCGGTACTGTTTAGCCGTTTATAGTAGAATATATTACAAACAATTACACATGATTATACTCTTCCCTAGGAGCTACAGAGAAGCGAAGAAGAAGCAGCGGAAGCACAAAAGCAGAGGGAAGAAGAAGAGAAGGCGATCAAAGAGAGACAAGAGAAAGAAAGACTTTCTGTGGTACGTGTTCTTTTTGATATTAGTAGTTTTCAATTTATTGTAATCAAAAGGGTATAATGCGATTCAAATAAGAATAGGAAAGCCAATGACCTTCATCTGTCAAATGTCGCTTGAAAAGTACGGTTTGCAAAAAAATCTCGGAACACTTTTTTAGCACTCAGCTAGTTCTAGAATAAAAACCAAACATTTTTAAACAAACAATACCAAATATTGATAATTAATATTGGTTGATTTTATTGAGCCTTGGCTATGAGTGGTTGATAACCTAAATCGTCAACCAAATGTCACTTTATGTTCCGTTCAGAAACTCGATTTAAAACTTTCGTTTAAATAAATGATGCATGTTCGTATGTGTCCTGCATGATTATTCATATCTACTCCGGCGGTAATGCAGAGATGAGCGGAATTGAAGAGCTAGATTCTGATTAATGTTTTTTCTCACACAATATATATATATTATAATTATTAAAAATCGGTTGTGTTTTTTCTCAATCTTAGTAAATTAATTTTATTAAAAAGTCTGATGTTTTTTCTCACTTAAGCTTAGTTAATAACTTTTATTAAATAAAAACTTTTTTTTGCTCACTCTACCTATCCCTGCCTCTACTCCCGGAAAATAAATCGTGTCGGATCTCGCTCGCCTATGATTATCCTCCCCCGCTACCCCTTGTTCCGTCCGTAACGCAACCCTTTTTCAGCACAAATCAGTCTCTAACTCCTGTATTTTGGTAGATTTTGTTCACTAATATTTGAGTCAGTACATCGTTGAATGTTGATATTGACATCTTAAAATAATTGAAACACTTAATTTCGCCACTTCCCAATTCTGTTATTAAGTTCTGAAAGGAGATTGCTCAAATTGGCCCAAATGCACAAAAAATATTGACATACACGGTAATTCTTGGCGTAATTTATAATTTAATTTACAGTCATTAGAATTCAACGGACACCTTTGTATAATATATTTACTTTAAAAAAGACTTTTAATTTTACCGGTTTGGAAAATATACGAATCATTTTTAATGGCTATGGGTGTAGTAACATTCAGCCAAAGACTGATCGAAGTTGTTTATATAACATGAAAATAAATCTATTTTGTAAAGATCGATAGAATAAATCATTTTTTATTTATTACACTGTGGTATTAATATCCACAACTATATTATCATTTTCACTAGATGCAAATGTGCTCAGACAATTGTTATAGATGGTCGGCGACATCATAAAATCTATTGCCATACATTTTTCGCCAAACACCTCCATAAACACATTTTAATCTGTATATATGTTAGACTTTAAGATATCTATCTATGGGCCTACGTTGCCTGACTATACATTGATAAATAAATAAAATTATAAGGTGTGATACACTAAAAATCTAAAATATGGTTATATTAAAAACATAACAAAAATAATGAAGCTACTGAATATATGGTTATATAATCTAAATCTTTTAGCTTTCTTTGTATAACGACAGTTTAAAAATTCTCTCTCATCTGTGGCTCATTCACAATCATCACACAGTTTCTGTCACAGAGTATCTTACTATAACCGGAAATGCATAGATGACAACTGATTTTAAAAGTTACTCTTTAACTTTAAAAACAGGCAACTATCTGTTAATCTACATGCTCTATATAACTGAATCTCATCCATAATTTCGGTACTTGGCTTGATTTCCCTAGTTTACTATATAACTTATTTGTTTTTGATTATTTTAATATGTTCAGTGTATATGGTTTATAGAAGTTCTCAGGGGTGTCCGTCAATAATATTCGTTTCTACAGTAATTTATATATAATTTCGAATCTAGGAAACAATTTTTCATGATTATTGGTCTTTAGGCCAAACATGTATGGAAGCTGAGCAATCTCCTTTACCCAAAATCGAATCTTTCCCTCAGGAATATGTGCACCCAATATTTAATGCCCATGGCTGTCTTTCTTTGTTTTCTTAAACAATAATAGGAACATTACAACAAGAACTTTGTCAACGTCCATCGTGAACAGTCGCCTCGCGTAGAGTGCCCTAAAATTGGTTAAAGCTTTAACCGTGACCGACAACCGATTATTAATCGTGTGTGTGAACAAAGGCATCGACATCCGATTAATATACGGATCCGACACTCGACAAGTGGGAACCAGCTTCTAATATTTTCTTTAGATTTAATGACAAAATGATTTGAAACGAATTATGCCGCTACACCCTTCGGTGTTGCTATATGCATTATTATGATAACAATAGGGGTGATGACGGGGTACAGTAAACGAAATTCTATTTAGTCCGTCAGTTAGATGATCAAAAAATAATGGACACGTATTTTTTCTTTGGGCAATCAACCAAAGAATGACAAAGTTATAGCGCGTCAAAGTTTGGGAGTAGGGGCTCGTGACGTCACTTTTGAGTGAATTTTCACTTATAAGTGTACTCAAACGTGACGTCATGCGACTTTTCAAATCAATATATCTCTGCAATGTTTCTATTATGTGAAAAAAGAAAAAATACGTGTCCAATACTTTTTGTTAATCTACCTTATAAACGAAGAAAAAAAAATTGTCATCACCCCTATTGTAATAGTGCTGATGTTTGTCCATTCATATAGGTGCAGGAAACGGAAAAGTGTCCCACAAACAAACCGGGCGATTCTGCCAGCCTGTACAGCCTCCACGACTTCGACATCAGCATCGATCTAGACATGCCTGTGCCCAGTACGTATAATTAAGATAATAAGCTGCCATCTTAAACACATTAAACATTCAATGATGACCACCTGTGAGGAGCTCGATGGCGCAAGTGGTTAGCGCGTTTCGCTGCGATCGTTGAAGTTAAGAAACTTTCGCAGTAGTCGGTCATGGATGGGTGACCAAAAATTTACTATCTCGAGCTCCTCCGTGCTTCGGAAGGCACGTTAAGCCGTTGGTCCCGGCTGCATGTGCAGTCGTTAGCACCCACCAATCCGCACTGGGCCCGCGTGGTGGGTCATGGCCCAATCTCCCTATTCCATCCATAGGGAAGGCCTGTGCCCCAGCAGTGGGGACATTAATAGGCTGATGATGATGATGACCACCTCCGTGGCCGGGTGGTTTGTACGCCGGGTTTCATGGCGTCGCCGACTCGAGAGGTCATCCCGGCGGGGGCAGATGTTTGTGTGATGAATACGAGCATTTGTACTCCAGTCCTGGATGTTTGATATGTATTACTATATAAATATATTTATATAATGTACAGTATATGTATTGTATACGTTACCCTAGTATCCAATAACACAAGCCTCATAGTGCTTACTTTGGGGCTAGGCTAAAAGGTGTGAGCATTGAAAAAAAAAGATTCTTTATTTTCTAATACTGTGTATAAAAGATAGTTGTGTGTAGGCATGCATCAATATTTAAACACAGCGAATATCATTATTAAATCAATTATTATAACACGTTTTTGAAATACGTAAATAGTAAATTTTTAATAAAAAAGATACCATTTTAACTGCACGGAAGCGGCAAAAAAAAATATCTACTACATATGGTAGATATTAAGCTCGTCGCTACATTATCTGACATTAGAGCCACGCACACATTGCGCGAAACATGAGCCGTTTTCTTTGCGTAGATTATTTAAATTACTATCTAGTAATTGAGGAATAATATAATCAATACATTTGTGATGTGCTAGTTTCTAATAATCGCATTCTGTTTCACAGAAGTCACAAACTCCCAACCAAAGCAAGTGACGACCAAAGTGAAAGAGACTGGGCCGAAGCGTTCACTCAACCTCGAAGAGTACAAGAAACGCCACGGGCTCATATGAGTGTTGTGCCCATTGGACAAAGCAAAGTGCTTGTGATAACGATTTAGTGAAGTGATAGTGCATTCGTTGACTGAAGTTCACAGACCGGAAATGTGCGATCGAAAAAGTCCAGAAGTTATAATTTCTGATTGAAAAATTGAAAACCAGCTAAAGGAGATCAAATAGTACGAATAAACTTTAAGTTTTATGCGATACAACATACTGTAACAAGTGATAAGTTGATTTGATTTTTTTGTAAGTATTTTGAATATTATTTAACTGTAATGTCACAGAGTAAAGTGAAATTCGTAAGAAGACAAAGTTAGAGCATAGTTAGACTTCGGGCAAAGGAGGTACCCACTTATGATAACCTTTTATATTTGAGTCCTATGAAAAAACTGTTGTATAATTCAGGTCATTAAGGAAAGGAAAGAAAAATGTCGACACAAGACATTCTGTCTCACTCGCACGTTACTTAGGATAGCATGTGCGAAAGGGACAAGCTGTGCTACGTCGTCATTTGCGATTCCATTCTTTAATGACACAAGTTATACCAAAACACCAAATTCCTTAATAATAAACATCATTATACTCGACCTTTTAACCCATATACTAAAATTACTTAGTTATTAAGTTGGATGATCTAGCAGCCCTACTTGAAAATTCAAATATGCATAATTTTACATCATACGAATTTATACTTTACTGTGTATAAAGTTCAAAATCGAAACCAACTCTAATACAATTTCATAGCCTTTTTAAGTTTTTACCGGTTCAAAAAGAAGTCCACATACATATTTACTTCACAACACTTTTAAAGTACTTCAAATATCTACATAAGAAAGTTTGGTTTTCATAAAGAAAGCAATCTCAGTTTTTGTATTACGTCTTGTATATAATATATTTAAATTGTATGGTTTTCCTTGAGATATGTTTTCTCAAAAAGTTTGTGTAATAGTAAACAATTGTTTTTACATTGCAGTAAGTTAGCCACATCTTATGAATTTCAGATTTCAGAATGCCTGTAAACAGTAAACGAAACAGCTTTAAACATTAATAGAAATAGTTTTATACTTTAAGTATGATCCAAATTTGTTTTAATAAGCCATGACTGTAGTTATTAAAAAAATGTTATTATATCTTCTGTGTCTTTTTATAAGTAGCAATGTGGATTCTAATAGTTAATATGAACAAGATTGTTATTAAAATTAACTTGATTTTCTGAACAATGAAGAATTTGTACTTAATTTATTAGCACCTCCACAATTCAATGAAACAAGAAATTGAGAAAAGATTTTAATACAAAGATATGTCTTTTCGAAGAAAATATGTAATTACTGATTACAATATTCCAAATTGTTTGAGTCATTCTAAAGTCACGCTTTCATATTATGGCAATTACTATAAATTAACAACATTTGTCAGTAATCTAAGTCTTTTTTTGCTACTTTAAACTTTTGTTCATCAAGTCGGACAGTTTTTTATTTTACAAAATATAATGTTTAACGCATTTGCCTTAAGCTGATTGCTATAAAACTGAGGCCCGTATTAATAGTGAAGAATAAAAAAGTAAAACTGTTAAATAACAACTTTAAATAACTTGTTCGTGACTATTCATTGCCATATAATATTCATTCACTCTTTGATAATGCATCAAAAGAGATAAAAAGTTTTAAGTATGAAGATATTGATGAATCGAAATGAGAAAGAAAGATTGTTAAGGGAGACAAGAACTATTAATTTAAATTATAACCTCAATTATTTAAATACTAAAAAAAAACTTTATAATAATTAGATATTTTAGTTTTTTTTAATTATGAGCGCATTATAATTGCATCAAACATGCAAATCCGATAAAGATGATTGTCATAATTTGTAACAAAACTCAGTGGGACTTGACAGCAATTTCTCCAGAAAATCCATAGCAAATATATTTCCAAAATATATGCTAAAGGATTTTTTTCAAAATAACGACATGATATTTAAAATTATTTATCCTTTGTAGAATTAAGAACATTTTTCCTTTGTAAAAAAATGGCTATTGTTTTTAACAAATAATTTAAACTCTAGAAATATAAAATCTTAGTCCTTTCATCCATTAAAATATCAGAACCACTGATATGAAGTTGACAGATTTTTTTTCTGCTACAATGTTGCCAGGGAAAACAAAGATAAACAAAATCCATGTTTAATTTAACTATTCACTGTCAGTCCCGCTGTGTGTTGATACATAATTGTAATTATATTTTTTTACCGATACAATTGACAGCATGTCAGCCGTAAAACTGGCTTTGCAGTGATATAAGTATTTATTACTAAAAATAGGTACCGGTCGACTCTAAAAAGTGGATACAATTTGTCGATGGCAGCGCCTTGTCGACAGCAATAAGATTAGCAATAAGAGCTAGACGGCAGAGTGGTTAATGCTTTTAGTCTGCGATTGTTGAAGTTAAGCTGCTTTGGCTACAACCAACCTTTGGATGGGTGACCAGTAATGTATTATTTCAAGCTGAGTACTTCAAAAAGCATATTAAACCGTTGCTCCTGGTTGATTACGGTCAGGTTTTTAAGTGATTCTGTCTGTAAACATAAGGTTGCACCAATGATCGACAACAACGAGCTATAGACGTTCGGTGTTAGCATATTTAGTGAACGGTTACTGACTTCATTTTCATTGAGCACAGAAAAAAATTTAGTTCAATGTATCTTGTCAGTCATTGGTACATTAGAAAATGTCTGTACCCCAGCAGTGAGGACATAATAGGCTAATGACTATAAAAGCAATATTTAATGCAAATTGTATTCATTGCTAAGGAGTTGACTAGTAAAATAGCTTAAAGTTAATCGAGCGAGTAGCTTTATAAGTGCTGTGCAAACCAGCTGAACAATGTTGCTTGCAGCGTCAAGTCGTAATCAATATAATTTATATACTTACCTAACTATTGTATTCAAATAGTGAATGTGGTAAAATTATTTAAGCTAGATACAATATTGTATTATTGATATCAATAAAGTATAGAAGACACGCCTCTGGAGGCATCCTTTTTTTTAATTTATTGTTTTATTTACGGTTCAAATGAATTTTCATCCATCCATAAAATTTGCTGCATACACTGAAAATCATGATGATACACAGAAAAGGGACTTTTGCCCGGATAAATAGATCGTTTACGTCTAGGGTCACCGTTTAGGAATTTGAAAAGTCCTGGCAAAAAGTCTGACATTTCGATAAAAGTCCGGACATTTTAGTTACAAAATTGGAAAAAATCCGGACAGACTATTCTCGAAATCCGGATATGGCCGGATTAATCCGGACGGATGGTAACCCCACTTACGACTACATCTGGTAACGCACACGAGCACGGGGTCACAAAAAGTCCCCCGAACAAGCTAGTACCATAAAGAAAAGTATGTGGGAGTCTCCAAAAAAATAACTCCCGTTTAAATATGCACCTTTTTTTTTATAGATAGGTCCGACAAATGACTCCACCCCACCTGATGTTAAGTGAAGGTGAAGTCCAGACGCGAAGATAGCTGATACAGCAGTTCTACCTGCCACACCAGCCATCCTCACCCTGCCGGCCTGCATGTTGCTTCTTCACGCCTCTTTTAAAGGATCCCAGGTTGTAAGAGGGAGGGAACACGTGAGCGGGCAGAGTATTCCATTTACGGATAGTGCGACAAAGAAATGAGTCACCAAAGGACAATGGGCAAACCGCACCCAGCTCCGCCAACAATGTAATTAGTATGAATCGATAGATCTATGAAAAACTAGCCTTTTTTATTATGACACCGTAAAAAATATCCTGGCAGTCAAAAGATATGACAAATGGGCATATTAAATATGCCCGTATAAAGTGAATTCACTTAAAATTTAAGTAGCTAAATAAATTCACTTCATAGTGCCTTCATTTTATATTATTAGTAACCATAATAATATGCCATATCGTACTATACATCCAGATATAGATGACAAAGATTGTCGACCATCCTGCGCTTGCACTTAATGAACCACCTCAAAACGGTTTACGGGGGTTGAAGGACTTGCAGTTGCAAATTGTCGACTCGTCTTACTTCGTTGTGATTGTGTGCCCCCGGTCACTTGATTGATTTTTATCTAACATGCTTTGGACATTGAAACACGATTATCGGTTTTGTCAATTAGTATGGATGAACTGAAATCACGTTTTCTTCGAAGGCATTGTCCTAATACAACGCGATAACGCGATCATCGCGCGTTTAAACGACGCGACCATCGCGTGATCGCGAACTGGGGCACCATTGCACCTTGTGGAGTACTCCCTGTGCCCTCTATGTAGTCGAACTAACTAAATTAATTCCCTTGTTTTATTAATGTTCGTTCGTTATAGGTATGTATTAACTTGTACTTATTTAACCAAAAATAACTAAAGACCCCCGGGATGGAATTTGATGCGCTTTGTCACATATGATCATGACTATAATACCTTTCAAACAAATGTAGTTTAAGCCGTGGCGGACGTGGGTGCAGCGTCCATACTATTTTGCCCAATGTCCTTTCTTTGTACGCGTTGGAATTGTAGCCACAGTAAGACGGTGACAACATAGGCCAGCGCGTGTGGTCCTCTGAAGGAAAAGGGATAAGAGAGAATAACTCCTCAGAACTGGTACAGACGATAGAACGCGCTTAGTGACGCCACGTCACGACGTAATTGAAGAGGCTCAAGGTGTTTAGTCACCTCCTCATCGCCTATGATTCGGATCGCGCGCCGCTGTAACCTATTCAAAGCATCGAGCAAGTACTTGGCGGAGCCATCCCAGAGGTGCGCCCAATATTCCACGCAGGACCGCTGTTGCGTTTTGTACAACAAGCACAGTTGATCGGGCGTGAAAAAACGCCGCACCTTGTTCAGGACTCCCGAGTTTGCGTGAAGCTGTTTTGATCACGGTTTCGATGTAGTCCTTTGGATTCAGGTCTGAGCGAACTTCCATACCGAGCATGGAAATGTTGCTCTGTAGCGGTAGTGTTGTGCCCTGAAGAGAGGGAAGGGGAAGGAATGGCGATGTTTTTGCCGTGAAAGCGCAAGCCTGCGTTTTCTTGGCATTGAACCCAACCAAGTTCCTGGTACAGCATTCGGAAATGTGGTCCAAAGCCTGATTGAGCTCCGTGGCCGAGTGGTATGTACGCCGGGTTTCATGGTGTCGCTAACTCAAAAGGTCCCGGAATCGAATCCTGGTGGGGGCAGATGTTTGTGTGATGAATACGAGCATTTGTACTTTGTACTCCAGTCATGGATGTTTAATATGTATTTTCTATATAAATATACTTATATATATACAAATACAAATACAATTTCTTTATTTCCATACCTTACTAAATATTACATTATATGTATATAAGTATTAAATATAAATCGGAAAAAGGAGTAGGCACAGCGCAGCTGGTTTTAAGCCTACCCATCGTCAAATTTTGTGGTTAGTTATACAATTTAATTCAATTATAAATAGCCAATTACATGTCAAATATATTAATTACAATGTCAATTCATTTAGATGTCATTCAAAGCTTAGCCAATTCAATGTCACGTTATATTTAAAATGTCATTTTTTTTTACAGTTATATATCAGTATATGTATTCTATCCGTTACCCTAGCATCCCATAACACAAGCATACAGTGCTTACTTTGGGGCTAGGCTAATTGGTGTGAGTATTGGAAATATTTATTTAAGATTATTATTTTTCTGGCAAAAAATGTTCGCAGCAAGGA